TGGCACCCTACACAGAAAAGTTTGGAAAATTTGCAGCCTGACTATGTGATAGAAAAGAAAAACCTATTTTCTGGGGGAAAATTTAAGCTGGTTACAGAAATTTGCATGACTTGCAAGGAGCCTAATGGATCATGGGGAAAGTGTCTCCAGGCCATGTCCGAGACCTTCACAGCAGCCCCTCCCATCACAAGCCTGGAAGCCCAGGAGGAAAAAATGGTTTCATGGGCTGGGCCCAGGTTCCCCTGCTGCATGCAGCCAGGAACTTGGTGCCTTGTGTCCCATCCGCTCCAGCCATGGCTAAAAGGGGCCAACGTATGCCTTGGGCTGTGGCTTCAGAGGGTGGAAGCCCTAAGCCTTGGTATATTCCACGTGGTCTTGAGCCTGCTGGTGTACAGAAGTCAAGAATTGAGGTTTGGGGCCATGCGCAGTGGCTCATGCCTGTAATCCCAGCACTTTGGGAGGCCAAGGTGGACAGATCACTTAAGGTCAAGAGTTTGAGACAAGCCTGGCCAACATGGTGAAACCCCATCTCTACTAAAAATATAAAAAAATGCATGGTGGCACATGCTTATAATCCCACGTACTCAGGAGGCTGAGGCAGGAGAATTGCTTGAACTCAGGAGGTAGAGATTGCAGTGATGAGATTGTGCCATTGCACTTCAGCCTGGGTGACAAGAACGAAACTCCGTCTCAGAAAAAAAAAAGAATCGAGGTTGGGAACCTCTGTCTAGATTTCAGATGTATGGAAATGCCTGAATGTTCAGGCAAAAGTTTGCTACAGGGGTGCGGCCCTCATGGAGAACTTCTGCTAGGGCAGTGTGGAAGGGAAATGTGGGGTCAGAGCCCCCACACACAGTCCCTACTGGGACCCTGCCTAGTGCCTGCTGGACACTGCTTAGAGCTGTGAGAAGAGGGCTACTGTGCTCCAGACTCCAGAAAGGTAGATCCACCCACGGCTTGCACCATGCATCTGGAAAGCTTCAGACACTCAACACCAACCTGTGAAAGCAGCTGGGAGGGAGACCGTACCCTGTAAAGCCACAAGGGGTAGAGCTGCCCAAGACCATGGGAACACACCTCTTGCATCAGCATGACCTGGATGGGGGACCTGGAATCAAAGGAGATCATTTTAGAGCTTTAAAATTTGGCTGCCCTGCTGGATTTCAGACTTGCATGAGCCCTGTAACCCTTTTGTTTTGGCCAATTTCTTCCATTTGGAATGGCTGTATTTGCCCAATACCTGTACCCCCATTGTATCTAGGAAGTAATTAGCTAGCTTTTGATTTCATGGGCTAATAGGTGGAAGGGACTTGTCCTGTCTCAGATGAGACTTTGGACTGTGGACTTTTGGGTTAATACTGAAATGAGTTAAGACCTTGGGGGACTATTGGAAAGGCATGATTGGTTGTGAAATGTGAGGACATGAGGCGTGGAGGGGCCAGGGGTGGGATGATATGGTTTGGCTGCGTCTCCACCCAAATCTCAACTTGAATTGTATCTCCCAGAATTTCCACATGTTGTGAGAGGGACCCAGGGGGAGGTATTGAAATCTCGGGGGCTGGTCTTTCTCATGCTATTCTTGTGATAGTGAATCTCATGAGATCTGATAGGTTTATCAGGAGTTTCCACTTTCACTTCTTTTTAATTTCCTTTTTTTTTTGTTGAGACGGAGTCTTGCTCTTTTTCGAGGCTGGAGTGCAGTGGCATGATCTTGGCTTACTGCAACCTACGCCTCCCAGGTTCAAGTGATTCCCCTGCCTCAGCCTCCTGAGTAGCCGGGACTACAGATGTGCCACCACACCCAGCTAATTTTTTGTATTTTAGTAGAGACAGGGTTTCACCATGTTGGCCAGGACAGTGTTGATCTCCTGACCTTGTGATCCACCCACCTTGGTGTCCCAAAGTGCTGGGATTACAGGCGTGAGCCACCATGCCCAGCCTTCTTTCTCATTTCTCTTGCTGCCGCCATGTAAGAAGTACCTTTCACCTCCCACCATGATTTTGAGGTCTCCCCAGCCATGTGAAACTGTAAGTCCAATTAAACCTGTTTTTCTTCCAAGTCTCAGGTATGTCTTTATCAGCAGTGTGGAAACAGACTGATACAGTTCATATTACACAGGTTTACATATGCATGTATAAAAGGCAAATGTAAGCATGCTTTCTTAAGGATTGATCATAAGCTGTTTTCTTTCAGTGAATGGAAGAGTTTAATGTAGAAACACCTTTGTAAGCACACGTGAAGAATATGTTATTTGACAATTTTCCTTTTTCTGTTAGATCCTATGATGCCTAGTAGAGAAATCCAGCAATAAAAGGCATATGTAAGCCTGCTAATTTTTTCTTTTTAAGATAAAATGTACTGATAATGATAAGCCCAGTGCTATCAATTATATATATATATATATATTTATTTATTTATTTTATTTTTTTTTTTTTTTGAGACGGAGTTTCGCTCTTGTTACCCAGGCTGGAGTGCAATGGCGCAATCTCGGCTCACCGCAACCTCCGCCCCCTGGGTTCAGGCAATTCTCCTGCCTCAGCCTCCTGAGTAGCTGGGATTACAGGCACGCGCCACCATGCCCAGCTAATTTTTTTTTGTAATTTTTAGTAGAGACAGGGTTTCACCATGTTGACCAGGATGGTCTCGATCTCTTGACCTCGTGATCCACCCGCCTCGGCCTCCCAAAGTGCTGGGATTACAGGCTTGAGCCACCGCGCCCGGCCTTATATTTATTTTTTTCCCTACTAAGTCTGACTTCCCAGGGTTGATTTTTGTAGCTTTCACTATACCAGGTTGTGATTTTTTTTCCTTTTTTTTTAGACAAAGTTTCACTTCATTCTTGTTGCCCAGTCTGGTGCAATGGTACGATCTCAGCTCATTGCCACCTCTACCTTCCGGGTTCAAGCGATTTTCCTGCCTCAACCTTCCGAGTAGTTGGGATCACAGGCATGTGCCACCATGCCCAGCTAATTTTGTATTTTTAGTAGAAATAGGGTTTCTCCTTGTTGGTCAGGCTAGTCTTGAACTCCTGACCTCAGGTGATCTGCTTGCCTCAGCCTCCCAAAGTGCTGGGATTACAGGTGTGAGCTACTGTGCTTGGCAGTGATTTTTTTTTTTTTTTTTTTTGAGACGGAGTTTCGCTCTTGTTACCCAGGCTGGAGTGCAATGGCACGACCTCGGCTCACTGCAACCTCCACCTCCTGGGTTCAGGCAATTTTCCTGCCTCAGCCTCCTGAGTAGCTGGGATTACAGGCACGCACCACCATGCCCAGCTAATTTTTTATATTTGTAGTAGAGACGGGGTTTCACCACGTTGACCAGGATGGTCTCAATCTCTTGACCTCGTGATCCACCCGCCTCAGCCTCCCAAAGTGCTGGGATTACAGGCATGAGCCACCACGCCTGGCTTTTTTTTTTTTTTTTTTTTTTTTTTTTTGAGGCAGTCTCACCCTGTTGCCCAGGCAGGAGTGCAGTGGTATGATCTCAGCTCACTGCAGCCACTGCTTCCCAGAGGTGGTTCTCATGCCGCCACCGTGCCTGGCTATTATTTTTAGTTATATTTTTTGAATTTATTTTTTGAGACGGAGTTTCACTCTTGTCACCCAAGCTGGAGTGCAATGGTGCAATCTTGGCTCACTGCAATCTCTGCTTCCCAGATTCAATCAATTCTCCTGCCTCAGCCTCCCAAGTAGCTGGGATTTCAGGCACCCACCATACCCAGCTAATTTTTGTATTTTAAGTAGAGATGAGGTTTCACTGTGTTGAACAGGCTGGTCTTGAACTCCTGACCTCAAGTGATCCACCTGCCTCAGCCTTCCAAAGTACTGGGATTACAGGCGTAATGAGCCTGTAATGCCTGGCTTTTATTTATTTTTAGTAGAGACAGGGTTTTTGCCATGTTGCCCAGGGTGGTCTTGAACTCCTGAGCTCAGGCAGTCCACCCACCTCAGCCTCCCAAAGTGCTAGGATAACAAGCGTGAGCCACCATACCTGGCCTTTTTATTTGTTGTTTTGTTTTTTTAGCATAGACTTAATTTACTCTGAGTAGTTTTTACCTTTTAAAATTTTTATTCTGTGTTGCTTATTTCTACTGGTAAACATTAAGAAAGGGGTAAAACAGGCTGGGCACGGTAGCTCACGTCTGTAATCCCAGCACTTTGAGAGGCCGAGGTGGGTGGATCACGAGGTCAGGAGTTCAAGACCAGCCTGACCAAGATGGTGAAACCCCATCTCTACTAAAAATACAAAAAAACTAGGCAGGCACCTATAATCCCTGCTACTCAGGAAGCTGAGGCAGGAGAATCGCTTGAACTCCAGGGTGTGGAGGTTGCAGTGAACTGAGATCATGCCACTGCACTCCAGCCTTGGGCGACAAAGTGAGACTCCATCTCAGAAAAAAAAAAGGGGGGGTAAAATATCAGTGGGTTGCTTTGCTTTCTTTCTTAGTCCAGAAAAACAATAAGAGAATGTATTGCTAAAGGTAGAGTCTGTTAGTATCTTTCTTTGCCCTACCAGATTTATTCTAATTGGCCGAGTGCAGTGACTCACGCCTGCAGATCTAGCACTTTGAGGGGCTGAGGCAGGAGGATCATTTGAATCCAGGTATTGGAGACTAGCCTGGGCAACATATCAAGACCGTGTCTCTACTAAAAATAACAAAAATTAGCTGGGCATGTGTCAGTAGTCCCAGCCACTTGGGAAGCTGAAGTGGGAGAATCACTTGAGCCCAGGAGGTCCAGGCTGCCTTGAGCCATCATCTCATCACTGCACTCTAGCCTGGGTGACAGAGCAAGACCTGTCTCCAAAAAAAAAGATCTAGCAGGCAAGATGGTGCACTGAAACTGTCTTGTTGAACCTGAGGAGGAGACTGTCTAGGGAAGGGCAGAAGCTCAGCAAGGTACCGGAATCCTCCACCCCAGGGATGTCTGTCTTCAGCCCGACAGGGGCCTTGGAAGCTCCATACCTCTCACCCTGTCACCCCAATCTCTGGCTCTTACAGATGCGACCTAAAGTCATGTGGCACCTCCTTCGAAGGTACATGGGATCCCGACTCCATTCCCTGCGAATGGGTGGTTACCTGTTCTCCGGCTCCCAGGCCCCCCAGTTGTCCCCTGCCCTGTTGAGAGCCCTGGGCCAGAAGTGCCCCAACCTGCAGCGGCTCTGCCTGCACGTGGCCGACCTGAGCATGGTGCCCATCACCAGCCTGCCTAGCACCCTGAGGACCCTGGAGCTGCACAGCTGTGAGATCTCCATGGCCTGGCTCCTCAAGCAGCAGGACCCCACTGTGCTGCCCCTGCTCGAATGCATCGTGCTGGACCGTGTCCCTGCCTTCCGTGACGAGCACCTGCAGGGCCTGACGCGCTTCCGGGCCTTGCGTTCACTGGTGCTGGGTGGTACCTACCGTGTAACCGAGACAGGGCTGGATGCCAGCCTGCAGGAGCTCAGCTACCTGCAGAGGCTCGAGGTGGTGGGCTGCACCCTGTCTGCTGACAGCACCCTACTGGCCATCAGCCGCCACCTCCGAGATGTGCGGAAGATCCGGCTGACCGTGAGGGGCCTCTCTGCCCCTGGTCTGGCTGTCTTGGAGGGGATGCCAGCCCTGGAGAGTCTGTGCCTGCAGGGTCCTCTTGTCACCCCAGAAATGCCAACCCCCACTGAAATCCTCTCCTCCTGCCTCACCATGCCCAAGCTCAGAGTGCTTGAGCTGCAGGGGCTGGGGTGGGAGGGTCAGGAGGCTGAGAAGATCCTGTGTAAGGGGCTGCCCCACTGTATGGTCATCGTCAGGGCTTGCCCCAAAGAGTCCATGGACTGGTGGATGTAACTGCTCCACCGTCTCTAGGACCCATCCCAGCTTTCATTGTTGAGCCCCAGCCCCTCTGAGCAGCACTTTGAAGAGGGCAGATAATCAGACTTGAGGAAACTGAAAGCCCCAGATTTAGAGGACAGAGGCCCAGGGACTTCCAGACCATTGGAATCACTGTTTGCCAGCCGTATGGCCTTGGTCATCTCATCAGCCTCTCAGAAGCCTACACATCCTGAAATAAGGACAATCACAGCTACCTCATTACGTTGTAAAGCCTTACTCTAAAAGCTCTCAGCCTCCAGAGGCTCTCGATGAAGAGTCACCTTCAGGGTCGTCCTCAGGAACAGGATGGATGAGGAAGGGGTGAGGTTAAGATTTACGGGCACCCAATGGGCCCCCTTAAGAGGTCCCAAGAAGTACTGTCTATGTATGCATACCCACATGCCTATATACCATTTATATACCTACACGCACGCAAGAGATGCTGAGAGACGGCAATGGAGAATCACGATTTGATTATTGAAATGCTTATAAAAGTTCTCAATTCTATTTTCTGTATTTTGTATGCTGTATTTTCCAAGACATATATTATTTTGCTATTAAATAAAATTTTTTTTTTTTTCCCAAAAAGTATTCAGTTTATTTATTCAACCAGTGTGTCTTGAGCTCTGCCTATTTTGCAGGCACTGTTCTAGGTTCTGGGAAACTGGGGCCACAGCAATGAACAAACTGACAAGACCCTGCCCTCATAGATCTCATAGAGAAGACAGGACAACAAACAGGTAAACTGATCCATATCTTAATTTTTTGGGGGGGGATGGAGTCCCACTCTGTCACCTAAGCTGGAGTGCAATGCTGTAATCTTGGCTCTCTACAACTTCTGCCTCCTGGGTTCAAGTAATTCTTCTGCCTCAGCCTCCCAAGTAGCTGGGATTACAGGTGCCTGCCACTACACCTGGCTAATTTTTTGGATTTTTAGTAGAGACGGGGTTTCGCCATATTGCCCAGGTTGGTCTCAAACTCCTGACCGCAGGTGATTCGCCTGCCTCAGCCTCCCAAATTGCTGGAATTACAGGCATGAGCCACCACGCCCAGCCACCATGTTGTAATTTTGGAGACTCTGGGACAATACTCCAGGGTCACATGATGGAGGCACACTCACATGGTTGAGTGAGCAGGGCAGGCCTCTGGGCTGAGATCTGAGAGGTGAAAAAAAAAGCGAACATCAGAAGAGCTAGGGGAGAAGAGGAAAGGCCAACACTGCTAAGATAAGAATGAACTTGGCATTTTCCAGAAACAGAAAGAAGGAGGTAGGTGTGGCAGAGGGAAGAGCCGTTGAAAGTGAGGTTGAGGCCAGGCATGGTGGCTCACGTCTGTAATCCCAGCACTTCAGGAAGCCAAGGTGGTTGGATCACTTGAGCCCAGGAGTTCAAGACCAGCCTGGGGCATCTGAGGCAGGTGAATCACTTTGCATTCAGGAGTTTGAGACCAGCTTGGGCAACATGGTGAAAACCCATCTCTACAAAAAAAAATTAGCCAGACCTGGTGGTGTGTACCTATCCAGCTACTCCCTGCTATCCCAGCTATTCTGGAGGCTGAGGTGGGGGGATCGCTTGAGCTTGGACTCAGAGGTTTCAGTGAGCTATGATCACCACTGCACTCCACCTGGGCGACAGAGTGAGAACCTGTCTCAAAAAAAAATAAACAAAAGGAGATAATGGGGACAAGAGTGGGCAGGGCCTTGCAGATGGCTCAGGTTTTAGGGGTTCAGTAAGTAACAACTCCTTTTCCTGCCTTTTGAGCCTGAGCCACTTGAAAGATGCAGGTGTCAGACTGTAATCAGGAGCGACCATCCGTGAGATGAACGTTGTGTGTGGCTAAGCCCCAGCTCTGTGGGCTCGCCACCTGCTCAGCAGGCCAGGGTGCTTCCTCTGGTGGTTACCGCCAGGTTGGAGAAGAGGGCTGAGCTGAGTGCACTTTGTTTCTTATTCTAAGCTCACTCATCAGAGAAGAAGAACTGGAGATGTTTCTCCCATGCTCTTCCCACTCAGAGTTGTGGGTTGCAGTAGAAATTCCTTCTCTTGCTCTCTTTCTCTCTCTCGCTCTTTTTTAATAGAGACAGAGGCCGGGCACAGTGTCTCATGTTTGTACACCCAGCACTTTGGGACACGAGGCAGGAAGATCACCTGAGGTCAGGAGTTAGAGACCAACCTCACCAACATGGTGAAACCCCTTCTCTACTAAAAATACAAAAATTGCCGGGTGCGGTGGCTCACGCCTATAATCCCAGCACTTTGGGAGGCCGGGGCGGGTGGATCACGAGGTCAAGAGATCGAGACCATCCTGGTCAACATGGTGAAACCCCGCCTCTACTAAAAATACAAAAAATTAGCTGGGCATGGTGGCACGTGCCTGTAATCCCAGCTACTCAGCAGGCTGAGGCAGGAGAGTTGCCTGAACCTGGGAGGCGGAGGTTGCGGTGAGCTGAGATCACGCCATTGCACTCCAGCCTGGGTAACGAGCGAAACTCCGTCTCAAAAAAAAAAAAAAAAAAAAAAAAATTAGCTGGGCATGGTGGCGTGTGCCTGTAATTCCAGCTCCTCAGGAGGCTGAGGCAGGAGAATTGCCTGAACCTGGGAGGCGGAGGTTGCGGTGAGCCAAGATCGTGCCGTTGTACTCCAGTCTGGGTAACAACAGCAAAACTCTGTCTCAAAAAAAAAAATACAAAAATTAGCCAGACCTGATGGCATATGCCTGTAATCTCAGCTACTTGGGAGGCTGAAGCAGGAGAATTGCTTGAACCCTGGAGCGGGAGGTTGCAGAGAGCTGAGATCACGTCACTGCACTCCAGCCTTGGCAACAGAGTGAGACTGTTTCAAAAATAAATAAATACATACATAAATAGAGCCGGGGGTCTCCTTATGTTGCCCAGGCTGGTCTCAAATTCCTGGGCTCAAGCCATCCTACTTCAGCCTGCCAAGTATCTGGGACCACAGGAGTGTGTCACCACACCTGGCTAATTTTTTATTTTTTGTAGTGATGGGGTCTCACCATTTTGCCCAGGCTGGTCTATAACTTCTGAGTGCAAATGATTCTCCTGCCTTGGCCTCCCAAAGTCCTGGGATTACAGGCATGAGCCACCTCACCTGAAATTCCTTCTCCATTTGGACATGAGGACTAGGGTATGAGTGTGCCCCTAATGTGGCCCTAGTCAGGATCTGATTGTCCAGTGCTGTGACCAACCCTGGTCGCTTCAGCCCAGGACAGCTGGGGTCTGGGTTGAATCAGTTAGAAACATAGAGATTGGACAAGTCTCAAAGTGTCTGGAGAGCTGGGGTCAGTTTGGGAGAGTATGATGGGTGACTGAACACCAGCACTGTGCTGGACTCTGCAGGTGGTTCTGGAAGTGCACTGCTGATGCCCCAGTCTGAAAGAACTCCAGGGGAAAAAAGCTGCGTTCTCCTCCCTTTCTTGCTCCTCCCTGCCTTTTCAGTAGAAAGGGAGCACCAGGTACTAATTTTAGTGTTTTTGTTAGTTTTTTGGAGATGGAGTCTCACTGTCACCCAGGCTGGAGTGCAGTGGTGCGATCTCAGCTCACTGCAAGCCCTGCCTCCCAGGTTTAAGCCTCAGCCTGCCTCAGCCTCCTGAGTAGCTGGGATTACAGGCACATGCCACCACACCCAGCTAATTTTTGTGTTTTTAGGAGACAGCATTTCACATATTGGCCAGGCTGGTCTCAAACTCGTGGCCTCAAGAGATCCGCCTGCCTTGGCCTCTCCAAGTGCTGGGATTACAGGTGTGAGTCACTGCAACTAGCCAGCAGACATTAATTTTGAAGCAAGTAAGTGTTTACGGACAGTGCTAGCAGGTGGGGGAGGAAGGCCCTGATCTGTCATATTTGCCAATTACTACGGTGTAAACAGTCTCATCACAGCTGGTTTCAAGCTACCAACAGTTTAACGACTGGCTCACAAAATAATTGAAGATTCAGCATTTGGCTCTCCTGAGCTTCGGTACACTGCCAATTTGGTACACTTCCTCCTGGGCTCAGCCTATCCAGAACCCATTCTGCCTTAATGATTTCTAACATGGGCTTTGCCTCAAGGGGTGACGGGGTGATAGAACATCAGACAGAGATGCTCTCCTTTTGAGACCTCCGTGCCCCTGATTATTGCCTTCTCCCAGATAAGGGTCTGGGGGCTTCAGGGCTGCCCTCTAATGAAGGCAAACCGTAATCACAATAGCTGACATTTATTGTTTATTATGTTATTATTTTATATTTATTTATTTTATTTATTTTGAGACATGGTCTTACATCATCGCCCAGACTGGAGTGCAGTGGCATGACAGGCATGAGCCACTGTGCCCAGTCATGTCTGTTAATTTCCGAGGAAAGACAGAACAGCAAGTACAAGGGCCCTGAGGCAGGAGAATGCTTCTGCAACAGCAGAAGCCAGTGTCTGAAATGGTTTAAGTGAGCTGGACAGGATGGAGACTAGCAGGAAGGAAGTCAGAGAATTAGCAGTCAGATGAAACGGGGCCATGAGAACAACTAAAAATTTTGGGTTTTACTATGAGTGCAATGCAAAGTCACAGGAGAGCCTCAGTTACTGGAGCAATATTCTCTGATGTACGTTTTAATAATATCTATCTGTCATTTGTACAACTCTTGTGAATCAAAGGTAGAATCGGGGCAAAATTGGAAAGTTAAGGCAATAATCCTGATGAGAGGAAAGTGGTTTGAAAGGTAGTAGGAAAGGGTCGGGTGCGGTGGCCCATGCCTATAATCCCAGCACTTTGGGAGACCAAGGCGGGTGGATCATGAGGTCAGGAGTTCAAGACCAATCTGGCCAATATGATGAAACCCCATCTCTATTAAAAATACAAAAATTAGGCCGGGCGTGGTGGCTCATGCCTTAATCCCAACACTTTGGGAGGCTGAGGCAGGTGGATCACCAGGTCAAGAGATCGAGACCATCCTGGCCAACATGGTGAAACCCCATCTCTACTAAAAAAATACAAAAATTAGCTGGGCATGGTTGTGTGCGCCTGTAGTCCCAGCTACTCGGGAGGCTGAGACAGGAGAATTGCTTGAACCCGGGAGGTGGAGATTACAGTGAGCTGAGATTGTGCCACTGCACTCCAGCCTGGGCAACAGAGTGAGACTCCATCTCAAAAAAGAAAGAAAGTAAGTTGGTAGGAGAGGAGAACAGAGGAGTTGTGGAATGGTCTGAGGCTAAAGTGAAGGCAGATCCAAGAGCTATCTGCTGATGGATTTTCTTTCTTTTTTTCTTTTTCTTTTTTTTTGGAGAGAATCTTGCTCTTTCGCCCAGACTAGTGTGCAATGGCACAATTATAGCACACTTTAGTCTGAAATTCCTGGACTCAAGCGATTCTTTCACCTCAGCCTCCTGAGTAGCTGGGACTACAGGCACCCACCACCACACGCAGCTAAGTTTTTTGTTTTGTTTTGTTTTGTAGAGATGGGACGTCACTATGTTGCCCAAGCTGGTCTCCAACTCCTGGTCTCAGTTAATCCTCCCTCCATGGGCTCCCAAAGTGCAGGGATTATAGGCATGAGTTACCAAACTTGTAACTGAGTAACTGCTTACAGTTGATTTATCAAATAGACAAAGAGTTTAATTCATGCAGAACCAGCTTTGTTGTACAGGTCGCCAAAGTTTTTGTTTGTTTTTGAGACGGAATCTCACTCTGTCACCCAGGCTGGAGTGCAATGGCATGATCTTGGCTCACTGCAACCTCCGCCTCCCGGGTTCAACCAATTTTCCCGCCCCAGCCTCCTGAGTGGCTGGGATTACAGAAATGTAGTCCCACCACATCCAGCTAATTTTTTTTGTATTTTTAGTAGAGACGGGATTTCACTGGTCTGGAACTCCTGACCTCACAATCCACCCACCTCAGCCTCCCAAAGTGCTGGGATCACAGGAATGAGCCACCGTGCTAGACCCAAAGTTTTACCTTTTTTTTTTTTTTTTTGAGACCGGGTTTCGCTCTTGTTACCCAAGCTGGAGTGCAATGGTGTGATCTCCACTCACTACAGCCTCCACCTCCCGGGTTCAAATGATTCTCCTGCCTCAGCCTCCCATAGCTGGGATTTCAGATGGCTGCCACCACACTCAGCTAATTTTTGTATTTTTTTAGTAGAGACAGGGTTTCAGGCCAGGCGCGGTGGCTCACGCCTATAATCCCAGCACTTTGGGAGGCCGAGGCGGATGGATCACGAGGTCAAGAGATCGAGACCATCCTGGTCAACAAGGTGAAACCCCGTCTCTACTAAAAAAAATACAAAAATTTAGCTGGGCATGGTGGTGCATGCCTGTAATCCCAGCTACTCAGGAGGCTAAGGCAGGAGAATTGCTTGAACCCAGGAGATGGAGGTTGCGGTGAGCCGAGATCGTGCCATTGCACTCCAGTCTGGGTAACAACAGCGAAACTCCGCCTCAAAAAAAAAAAATTACCATTTTAGTGTTGTGCAGCCATCAGCTCTTTTTAGTTTCAAAGCATGTCTTTCTTTCTTTCTTTTTGAGACAGGGTCTTTCTCTGTTGCCCAGGATGGAGTCCCAGTGGCGCCATCTCAGCTCACTTTAACCTCCCATCAGCTTCCTGAGTTCAAGTGATTCTCCCACCTCAGCCTCCTCACTAGCGAGGACAATAGGCATATGCCACCACACCTGGCTAATGTTTGTGTTTTTTGGTAGAGACGGAATTTCACCATGTTGGCCAGGCTGATCTCAAACTCCTGACCTCAAGCGATCCACCTGCCTCCACCTCCTAAAGCGTTGGGTTTATAGGCATGAGCCACCGTGCTTGGCCTAGTTTCTAAGCATTACCATCACACCGAAAGGAAAGTATGTACCCATCAAGCAGTTACTCCTCACTTACCCTGCAAATATTAACTTGCTTTCTCTCTCTATGGATTTACCCTTTCTGTATATCTGGTATAAATGGAATCATATGATATAACCTTTTCTGTCTGGCTTCTTTCACTTAGCATAATATTTTTTTTTCTTTTTTTTTTTTGGACACAGAGTCTCACTCTCTCACCCAGGCTGGAGTACAGTGGCATGATCTTGGCTCACTGCAACCTCTGCCTCCTGGGGTTCAAGCAATTCTCGTGACTCAGCCACTTGAGTAGCTGGGATTACAGGTGCACGCCACCATGCCTGGCCAATTTTTGTATTTTTAGTAGAAACAGCACTTCACAGTGTTTGCCAGTCTGGTCTCAAACTCCTGGCCTCAAGTAATCTGCCTGCCTCAGCCTCGCACAAGGGCTGTGATTACAGGCATGAGCCACCTTGCTTGGCCCAGCACAGTTGATTCTGATAGCTTTTCTGAACCTATTAGTTGTACTGTGGTAGGAAGAACCCCTGGAGTTCTGCATTCTGCCACAATTGATTATGCTAGTTCTGTTCCATAGGCTTTTTTTCTTTTTTTGAGACTGAGTCTCACTCTGTCACCCAGGCTGGAGTACAGTGGCGTGATCTCGGTTCACTGCAACCTCTGTCTCCAGGGTTCAAGCTGATTGTCCTGCCTCAGCCTCCTGAGTAGCTGGGATTACAGGCCTGTGCTACCACACCTGGCTGCTTTTTGTAGTTTTAGTAGAGAGGAGGTTTAACTATGTTGGCCAGGCTGATCTCGAACTCCTGTCCTCAAGTGATCCACCTGCCTCAGCCTCTCAAAGTGCTAGGATTACAGGCATGAACCACTGTGCCCAAACCCATAGGCTTCTTAATGACTTTATTCCACAATTTTTCTCACAAGCTGCATTTTTCACTTCATTTCAGAATTGGATTTGCAGCTCAAAACCAAATGCTCCCCACTACTGCAAGATGTTTCTGCAGAAAGATCACCAAATGGAATACAACTGGTAAGATTTCCACGGGATTAAATCTTCCACTGTAGCAAGGAGGATAATATTAACGAGAATTACATGAGGAAAATGGCATTTACCCAAAGAAAACAGACTCTGAAGAGATTCTCTGAATATCATGAATATGGGAAGCACTCTAAACTTACTACAAACATGTTTCTTTTTTTTTTTTTTGAGACCAAGTTTCGCTCTTGTTACCCAGGCTGGAGTGCAGTGGCACGATCTCGGCTCACCACAACCTCTGCCTCCTGGGTTCAGGCAATTGTCCTGCCTCAGCCTCCTGAGTAGCTGGGATTACAGGCACGCGCCACCATGCCCAGCTAATTTTTTGTATTTTTAGTAGAGACGGGGTTTCACCATGTTGACTAGGATGGTCTCGATCTCTTGACCTTGTGATCCACCCAACTCAGCCTCCCAAAGTTCTGGGATTACAGGCGTGAGCCACTGCACCCGGCCTACAAACATGTTTATTCTCAGAGATCTCACAAATAAACATCCACAAACAAACGACTCAGCTATTCATTTTTTGGTGCATAATTTATTTTATTTATTTATTTTTTGAGACGGAGTTTCGCTGTTGTTACCCAGGCTGGAGTGCAATGGCACGATCTCGGCTCACGGCAACCTCCGCCTCCTGGGTTCAAGCAATTCTCCTGCCTCAGCCTCCTGAGTAGCTGGGACTACAGGCGCGCACCACCATGCCCAGCTAATTTTTGTATTTTTAGTAGAGACGGGTTTTCACCTTGTTGACCAGGATGGTCTCAATCTCTTGACCTCGTGATCCACCTGCCTCAGCCTCCCAAAGTGCTGGGATTATAGGCGTGAGCCACCGCGCCCGACCCAGATAATTTATTTTACTAGCTGGGACTACAGGTGTGAGACACCATGCCTGGCTGATTTTTTTGTTTTTTTTTTGAGATGGGGTTTCACCATGTTGCCCAGGCTAGTCTCAAACTCCTGAGCTCAAAGCAATCCACGTGCCTTGGCATCCCAAAGTGCTGGGGTTACAGTATGAACCACTGTGTCCAGCCTATAATTTAGTCTAAATAATCTTAGACATAATGTGGCTTATGCCTGTAATCCCAGCACTTTGAGAAGCCAAGGCAGGCAAATCACTGAAGGCCAGGAGTTGGAGACCAGCCTGGCCAACATAGCAAAAATCTGTATCTACTAAAAATAGAAAAATTGGCCGGGCATAGTGGCACATGCATGTAATCCCAGTTGCTTGGGAGGCTGAAGCATGAGAATCCCTTGAACCAGGGAGGCAGAGTTTACTGTGAGTCGAGACTGTGCCACTGCTCTCCAGCCTGGGTGACAGAGTGAAAGTCTGTCTCAAAAAAAGAAAAAAATATATATACACATATACACACACATATATACACACACACACACACATATATATGTGTGTGTCTGTGTGTCATCAGGCTGAGTAGCTCTGTGAACACAGAATATAGGCAGGCTGCTTGCCTCGTCCTATTATTCAACTTAAAAATGGGACTGGAACTCTGTACATATAATGGGAGTGTTAAAATGTTTAAATACGACATTTCCAATGCATAAATGTTGTGAATAGGGAGAAATTCTCTTACCATACTGAATGTGAGAAAGTCTTTATTAATCTTTTATATCTCAACAGGAGAGAAGCAATACTGCAGAGAAACTCTATGACTCTAACCATTGTGGAAAAGTCTTTAGTGAACACCCTTTTCTTATGGCTCACATGAGAACTCACATTGGAGCGAAAACTTCTGAGAATAATCAGAGTGGAAAAGCCTTAAGAAAGAACTTTCCTCATATTTTTTATAAGAAAACTCACGTTGAGGGGAAAACGCCTAAGTATGTTAAACATAAAAAAGCCTTCAGCCAGCCGGGCGCGGTGGCTCACACCTGTAATCCCAGCACTTTGGGAGGCCGAGGTGGGTGGATCACGAGGTCAACAGATCGAGACCATCTTGGTCAACATGGTGAAACCCCGTCTCTACTAAAATTACAAAAAATTAGCTGGGCACAGTGGTGCGTGCCTGTAATCCCAGCTGCTCGGGAGGCTGAGGCAGGAGAATTGCCTGAACCCAGGAGGCGGAGATTGCAGTGAGCCGAGATCGTGCCATTGCACTCCAGCCTGGGTAACAAGAGCGAAACTCCGTCTCAAAAACAAAAAAAAAAAGCCTTCAGCCAATTTCCAAATCTTACTAGGCAGAATGAAACTCATATACAAGAGAAATTTTGTGAATGCAAAGATTGTTGGAGAACTTTTCTGAATCAGTCATCCCTTAAGATACATATAAGATCTCACAACGGAGACAAACATGTATGTAAGGAATGTGGGAAAGCCTTCAGTAATTCCTCATACCTTATAGGACATGGAAGAATTCACAGTGGAGAGAATCCCTATATCTGTAAAGAATGTGGGAAAGCTTTGACTCAATCCACAGGACTTAAATTACACATTAGAACTCATACTGGAGAAAAACCATATAAATGTATGGAGTGTGGGAAAGCCTTCACCCATTTTTCATCCCTTACTGATCATACAAGAATTCACAGTGGAAAGAAGCCCTATGTATGTATGGAATGTGGAAACGCCTTCACTCGCTCCACAGGACTTATTTTACATGTACGAATTCACACTGGAGAAAAGCCATGTGAATGTAAGGAGTGTGGAAAAGCTTTTATTCATTCCTCATACCTTACAAAACATATAAGGATTCACAGTGGCGAGAAGCCATATTTATGTAAAGAATGTGGGAAAGCTTTTACTCGTTCCTCAGGACTTGTTTTACACATGAGAACATACACTGGAGAAAAGCCCTATGAGTGTGAAGAATGTGGGAAAGCCTTTAATAATTCCTCAATGCTTAGTCAACATGTAACGACTCACACCGGAGAGAAGCCATATGAATGCAAAGAATGTGGGAAAGCTTTTGCTCAATCCTCAGGCCTTAGTACTCATTTAAGAACTCACACTGGAGAAAAGGCCTATGAATGTAAGGAAAGCGGTAAAGCATTTGCTCGTTCCACAAATCTTAATATGCACATGCGAACACACACCGGAGAAAAGCCTTATGCATGTAAAGAATGTGGGAAAGCCTTCAGATATTCCACATGCCTTAATGTTCACATGCGCACTCAGACTGGAGCAAAACCATACGAATGTAAAGAAAGTGGGAAAAACTTCAATCTTCAGCACTTTCTAAACATCAAAGAACTAAGTCATGTGGAAAAAACCTGAAGTCAGATCTTAGTATTTACATCTAAACTCTTCTGGAAAAAATCATATGAAGGTAAAGAACATGAAGAACCTTCACTGAACTTCAATTTCTTATATAATAGAAATGAATTTAACATGGACACAAGTCCTAGTAATACAAGAAATAGGGGAGAGCAGTTCTTTACCTTATAAAGTGTAAGAACTCACCTTTGGGAGAAAAATCTGGTTCTAAGATGTGATAAAGCCTTTGTTTCTTTCACTATTTTTTTTCTTTTTTTTTTTATGCAGAGTCTCGCTCTATTGCCCAGGCTGGAGTGCAGTGGTAAAATCTCAGCTTACTGCAGCCTCTGCCTCCTGGGTTCAGGCAATTCTCCAGCCTCAGCCTCCAGAGTAGCTGGGACTACAGGCACATGTCACCACGCCCAGCTAACTTTTTGTATTTTTAGTAGAGATGGGGTTTTACTGTGTTAGCCAGGGTGGTCTCAATCTCCTGACCTCATGATCTTTCTGCCTTGTAATCTCCCAAAGTGTTGGGATTACAGGCCTGAGCCACCATGCCCGGCATAATATTTTTCATGTCAAAAAGTACTGTAAAAGCCAATTGAAGGTAAGAATGAGAGATAGCCTTAAAATACTTCACAAGCCTTAATAGCACTTCATAACACACACTGCAGAAAAAACTGTATGTAAAGAATGTGGTAAAGGCCGGGCGCGGTGGCTCAAACCTGTAATCCCAGCACTTTGGGAGGCCGAGGCGGGTGGATCACGAGGTCAACAGATCGAGACCATCCTGGTCAACATGGTGAAACCCCGTCTCTACTAAAAATACAAAAAATTAGCTGGGCATGGTGGCGCATGCCTGTAATCCCAGCTACTCGGGAGGCTGAGGCAGGAGAATTGCCTGAACTCAGGAGGCGGAGGTTGCGGTGAGCCGAGATCGCGCCATTGCACTCCAGCCTGGGTAACAAGAGCGAAACTCCGTCTCAAAAAAAAAAAAAAAAAAAAAAAAAAAGAATGTGGTAAAATCTTTACTTAGTGCTCAGGACTTAGTATCCACATGAGAATTCACAGTGGATGAAATCCTACAAATGTAAAGGCTACAGGAAGATCTTCATTTCCTTCTTTTTTCTTCTTTTCTTTTCTCTTCCTTTTTTTCTTCACTTCCTTCTTTTTTTTTTTTTTTTTTTTTTTGAGCAAACAATTTGTTATAATGAACCAGAAATACAAGATTCCACTGAAACTGGGACAGTTACAATTGGTTGAACTTAAACTTTCAAGGGAAATAAGGGTGAGATAAAGCTAGTGAGTGGAAAAGTCCGAGATTGGTTTGGGATAAACATGAGGATAATTACATTTTAGCATGGATATTTTCTGACCTCTTCCAGCACTTCATCTGCCATCATTCTCCATTCTGACACACCTACCAAATCAAATGGCTTTTTCCTCTGTATTATTTATAGGTATAAACCAACCCTATAGTACCCTTCTGGATACAAAGCCAAGAGAAAGTGTGTAAATCTCACAGAATGGTGGAAATCTAGTACAACTCAACCCAGCATGCTGGTTATACATGGTGTCAATGTACATGGTAGCAACCCTGACCAAATCAGAGCTGCTACCACATGTAAGCAACCTCTTATGCTGCCCTGTTGTGATGTCAATGTGCTCAGTTTACTAAATTATCAATGTGGAAGAATGCATCTTTGAGCTCCAGACTTTCTTAACATTTTAAAGAGGCTTTTGAAGAGGATGTAACAGAACCCTACCTCAGAAATCTAAGCATCAGGGAGGAACACTTTTTTTTTCTGGGACCTTTCTGTGGGGGCAACAGAGATCAACAAAAGAAATGTTAGCATGTCAGAGCATCTGACAAGTGAGGGAAGGCAGAGGTAGGAAGAGGGTGTTCTAGCCACAAGGCTAATGCATTTGTGTTCAAAGAGAAGTCTGGGTACAGGAGGGGAAAATACCCCACCCCCGAAAAAGAAAACAAAAACAAAAAACCAAATCAAAGGACAAAAGGACTTCATACAATACAGTATCCAAAAGTAAAAGGAACACACTAAATGCACAAGCTGGTGGCAAGTAAGTCCATAGCCTATTGTGATAGGTCCATCCAGCATCAATCAGATTTCTTCTCATCTGTTATCTCAAGGCTATTTACAGACGTGTGGACTAACAAGAGTCTCTCACAGCAGGGTGGGCAGGCTTCAATCATTGGTTTCGGGATCTGTCTGCGCCATGTAGGCATCCAACTCAGCATCCAGGTGTCCTTTTGTTTTCGACATGGGTTGTCCAGCTGCTCCTTGGTCAATACAGGGCGAGCAAGGGCACCTCTCCCTCGTCCACGGCCTCGGCCTCGGCCTCCAAAGCCCCCTCTTCCCCGACCTATCATACCCCGACCTCCACCACCGATTCTGCCGCGACCCACAGCTCCACGCCCTAGGCCCCCTCTCCCAGGACCTCCACGACCTCGAACACCACCTCTTCTTAAGCCCATTCGGGGAGCTACGGCTCGTCCACCTCGGAGCAGGTTTTGACCTCGGAGCGACATCCCGCCCCTAAGCAGGGTTCTGGTGGCACGTCCCCCACGTAGTCCTCCTCTGGGCAAGTCTCTCTGGATTATGGGTAGGCCTCGTCCTCCGATTGCTCCCCTGGCCAGGGCCCCTGTGGGTCGGCCTAACCGTGCCTGGATGTTACTCTTACCCAGGCGCCGCTTTCAGCTCTGCTTCAGTTTTAATGCTGCCTGGACAGAGGGTCTATTCTCCATCTGCTGGGCCAGGCTTCTGTTTCTGGCACCGGCTAGCTGCTGTTGTTGCTGCATGGAAGCCCGAAATTGTTCTTCAGCATATTAGTGAAGCGCTCATTTAGAGACATCTTGGTGGTGCTTTTTAGCACAACTTTCGGCGCCGGGGACCGGCCGAACCCGGCCTGCCCTTTCCTGACTTTCGTCTGCAGCGGCCGCCAGCTCCGTCTCAGTGTCCAAAACCCTTCACTTCCTTCTTATACCTTTTAGTAACTCAACATTAGAGAACTCACAGTGGGCAGGTAGCCTATATATGTAAGAAATCTGGGACAGCCTTCAGAAATTTCTGACAGTTTCAGGTATAAGAAACCTCATGAATTTAAGATAATGTTAAAAATTCTTCCAGTGTTACCAAGTCACTCAACGTGCATTGGAGAGAAACCCTGTGAAGGTCAGATGTGGGAAAGCTTTACTTCTGCCTCACGTGTTAATACTTCACAATTTGAAAGAGGCCAAAAGCATTATGAATGTTAGAAATATGAGAATGCCTGGCTGGGCGCCGGGGCTCATGCCTGTAATCAATCACCTGAGATCGGGAGTTCGAGACCAGACTGACCAACAAGGAGAAACCCCATCCCTACTAAAAATACAAAATTTAATCCCAGCTACTTGAGAGGCTGAGGCAGGAGAATCGCTTGATCCCAGGAGGCGGAGGTTGCTGTGAGCCGAGATTGCACCATTGCACTCCAGCCTAGGCAACAAGCGAAACTCCGTCTCAAAAAAAATATTCAAATGCCTTCTCATGTGTGTATATATACACACACACACACACACACACAAACACACATTCACACTGGAGAGAAATCTTGATAATACAGAATTAGGGAAATATTGCGTCCGTTTTACAAGTCTTACTATACATGTGAAAATCCACACTGCAAAGAAACTGTATGAATGTAAATATATGGGAATGTGCTGGGTGTGGTGGCTCATTTCTATTATCCCAGCACTCTGGGAGGTTGAGGTGGGCAGCTGACTTGAGGTCAGGAGTTTTGAGACCAGCCTGCCAACGTGGAAAAACCTTGTCTCTACTAAAAATATAAAAATTACCAAGCATGGTAGCAGGTGCCTATAATCCCAGCTACTGGGAAGACTGAGGCAGGAGAATTGTGTGAATCTAGGAGGCAGAGGTTGCAGTGAGCTGAGATCACACCACTGCACTCCAGCCTGGGTGACAGAGCAAGACTCCATCTCAAAGAAAACAAACAAAAACCTGGGAATATTTTTAGCAATACGTATTTCTTAGGTGACTCAGAAAATACTCGCTGGAAGAATAAACTATGAATCTGAGGTGTTATGGAAAGTTTTCATATATTATTGTTTTTATACACAAGATAATTCATACTAGAGGAGAAACTGAAATAAATGACATGAAATTGAGATTGCCATTTTTTTTTGTTTTTAGATGGAGTCTCACTTTGTCACCCGGGCTGGAGTGCAGTTGCGTGATCTCCGCTCACTGCAATCTCTTTCTCCCAGGTTCAAGTGATTCTCCTCCCTCAGCCTCCCAAGTAGCTGGGATTACAGACATGTGCCACCACACCCAGCTAATTTTTTGTATTTAATTTCCTTTAAGCTTCCTTGCTTTTTGCTAGTAACTCTTTGTTAAGCCCTATGTAGCCGTTAAATATAGTAAGAAAATAAGTACATTCCTTGTACTTTAACCAAGTTATTTTTTTATTATTTTTTTTCTGAGACGGAGTTTCACTCTTGTTACCCAGACTGGAGTGCAATGGCACAATCTCGGCTCACCGCTACCTCCGCCTTCTGGGTTCAAGCAATTCTCCTGCCTCAGCCTCCCGAGTAGCTGGGACTACAGGCGCGCACCACCATGCCCAGCTAATTTTTGTATTTTTAGTAGAGACGGGGTTTTATCTTGTTGACCAGGATGGTCTCAATCTCTTGACCTCGTGATCCACCCGCCTCGGCCTCCCAAAGTGCTGGGATTACAGGCTTGAGCCACCGCGCCAGGCCGAGAGCTTTTAAACTGGAAGATAATGCTGCCAGGCTGCTGAGCATCGTCACTTAGTCATATAAGCCCCCTTTCATTCCCTTTCTCCTCTGGGAGTTTCCCTTCCTTTCCACTCTTTCTGAGCAACAACCCTCCAGTAGAAGCCTGTGGATACTCTCCTGCTGTTCGCTACCTCCTGCCACTGCTAACCTTTCAAAGCACGTCCCTAATAAAGCTTGTGTGCTATTGCCACCTTGTGGTCACATCCTTTTCCTTACTCAGCCAAGAAAGCACCTGAACACCCTACATATGGGTGTGGTTTTATTTTTCACATTTAGATCCCTAGTCCATTTGGAGTTTATTCTTGTATATGCTGTGATGTATAGTTTTAATTTCATCTTTTCTCAAATGGCTAACCACCTATATTAGACCTTTCAAATGACATTTTTTGCCCCATCAATCTGAGACATCACTTTTTTTTTTTGTTTGAGAGTTTCACTCTTACCCAGCCTGGAGTGCAATGGCATGATCTTGGCTCATGGCAAACTCTGCCTCCCAGGTTCAAGTGATTCTCCTGCTTCAGCCTCTTGAATAGCTGGGATTATAGGCATCCGCCATCACAGCCAGCTAATTTTGTATTTTTAGTAGAGACAAGGTTTCTTCATGTTGGTCAGGCTGGTCTGGAACTCCCGACCTCAGGTGATTCATCTGCCTTGGCCTCCCAAAGTGCTGGTATTACAGGTGTAAGCCACCATACCCAGACAATTTTTTGTATTTTTAGTAGAGATGGGGTTTCACTATGTTGGCCAGGCTGGTTTTGAGCTCTTGAATTCAAGTGATCTTCCCACCTCGGCTTCCCAAAATGCTAGGATTACAGGCGTGAGCCACCACACCTGGCAAAATACCACATTTACACATGAAAGTTCTACATGTTCATGAGTCTATTTTTAGATATTTTATTAGTCTGTTTCTGCTTCATGTGCTAGTACCACATAGTTTTAATTATAGAGGCTTTGTAGTATGTTTATTTTTATTTTACAATAATTTAATTCTTTCCGTTGTGTGAAAGCTGCCAACAGTATGTTTTAATATCTGTTATTCATTATTTGTTTTTCTTTTGTTTCTGTTTTTCTTTTTTGACACAAGGTCTCCATCTGTCCCCAGAATGGAGTGCAATGGCACAATCTTGGTTCACTGCAACCTCTGCCTCCTGGGTTCAAGTGATTCTCCTGCCTCAGCCTCCCAAGTAGCTGGGACTACAAGTGCATGCCACCACACCCAGCTAATTTCTGTATTTTTAGTAGCGACGTGGTTTCATCATGTTGGCCAGGATGGTCTCCATCTCCTGACCTCATGATCCATCCACCTCAGCCTCCCAAAGTACTGGGATTACATGTGTGAGCCACCGCACCCAGTCTTGTTTTATTTTTCTTGGTTATTATCAGATTTTGTTCTTCCACATCAACTTTTAGTATCAATGTACCTAACTCCAGAAAAAACTTTTGGTATTTTTATTGGGATTATGTTACATATCTGAATAAACATGGGGAGTATGTCTGGGATCAGTGCTATTTTAAAACATACAAAATGTGGTGCTGGCCCATGTGGTAAGATCAGAAAAATAACAATAGAAATACAAATTTGTGGCTGGGCACAGTGGCTCATGCCTGTAATCCCAGCACTTTGGGAGGCTGAGGCAAGAGGATCACCAGTTTAGGAGTTCGAGAGCAGTCTGGCCAATATGGTGAAACCCTGTCTCTACTAAAAATACAAAAATTAGCTGGGCCTGTAGTCCCAGCTACTCGGGAGGCTGAGGCAGAAGAATCGGAAGAATCGCTTGAACCTGGAAGCAGAGGCTACAGTGAGACAAGATCTCGTCACTGCACTTGAGCCTGGGCGACAGTGAGATTCTGTCTCAAAAAAAAAAAATTAAAAACATTTTTTTTTTAATAGAGATGGTGTCTTCCTATGTGCCCAGACTATTCTAAAAATCCTGGCCTCAAATGATCCTCCCACCTTGGCCTCCCAAAGTGCTGGAATTACTGGCATGAGGCACCGTGCCCAGCCAGAAATACTTGATGAAGACAAAATAAATAAAGATTTATAGAAATACTGAAAACGTGACCTGGCATAGTGGCTCATCCCTATAATCCCACCATTTTGGGAGGCCGAGATGGGTGAATCACGAGGTCAGGAGTTACAGATGAACCTGGCTAACATGGTGAAGCCCATCTCTACTAAAAATACAAAAAATTAGCTAGGTGTAGTGGCAGGTGACTGTAATCCCAGCTACTTGTGAGGCTGAGGCAGGAGAATCACTTGAACCTAGGAGCGTTTTATATATATATATACTTTTTTTTTTTTTTAATAGAGACAGGATCGGGCTGGTGCGGTGGCCTGGCCGTGTGTGTGTGTGTGTTTTAAAGAGTCAGGTCAGGCTGGGCATGTAGTTGTAATCCCAGCACTTTGGGAGGCCCAGGCGGGTGGATCACCGGAGGTTTAGGAGTTCGAGACCAGCCTGGCCAACATGGTGAAATCCCATCACTACTAAAAATACCAAAATTAGCCAGGCATGGTGGCGCGTGCCTGTAATCCCAGCTACTGGGGATGGGGCGGGGCAGGGGGGGCTGAGGCAGGAGGATCGATTGAACCTGGGAGGCAGAGGTTGCAGTGAGCCAAGATTGCGCCATTGCACTCTAGCCTGGGCAACAGAGCTAGACTCCGTCTCAAGAAAAAAAAAGAAAGAAATAGGAGCTTGCTATTTTGCTCAGGCTGGTCTCGAACTCTTGGACTCAAGGTATCCACCTGCCTATTCTCCCACAGAGCTGGAATTACAGGCGTGAACCACTGCGCCCGCCCGGGAAAAGCTTTGGAGGAGCATCTTCTGGGGTGCGTCCCAGGCCACATCCTGGCCCTCCAGCCCATCTGGCCACTTGAGCCGCGGGCTAGGCCGGGTCACACCTCTAAACCGCTCCCGAGTAGGGGGCCCCGACCCACACTTCCGTCCAGAGACCCGGTTCTAACTTCATCTTTTTCTCTGAACTTGTTTCTGCATCCCGCTCTGCGAGCCAACTCGAGGCCCCGTCCGCACCCACCCGGGAAAAAACTAGGATAAAAATTCCGTGTTCGACCGGGTCGTAGGTGGTAGAAACTCCAGCCCCGGAGCCCCGCCTGGCCCGAAGCTCAGAAGGGAAGTGACGTCAGCGCGCCACCGCCGTCTTTTCCGGCGCTGGCTCTGAGTGTTCTGTGCCATTTCGCTTTTATGGTGCTGGAGTTCACCCGGCTGTGGTGAGTTCTGCCTGCTTCGGGGTCGCGGAGGTAGCAGCGGGGAGGCAAAGGAAGCATTGGGCCTGGTCGCCCCGGAGCCTCTCGGATCCAGCTCGTTTCACTTGCTTCTCCAGGGGCTGTCTTTCCTCCCGGCGCGGCCACTTCCGATAGTAGGCACACTCGGTCGGTCCCTGTCAGGAGCCGGGTTGGGAAGTGTGTTTGTCCCGCTTCCGCGGGGTGTTTTCTGGAGTGCTTCCATCCTCTGTGCTCCCCTCTTCAAAAGCTTGGAAAGCAGCCTTTGTGAATTTTTTCTTTCCGAAAGGAAGAGAATTTCACTGTCTTTCTTGCGAGATTGGCTCCGGCCGCGCATCCTCCTGCCTCAGGAACCTGGCGATTCCGGCGTGTTCCTGGTGAGCACCGGCAGAAGACTGGTTTCAGGAGAGGTCTGACTTCCATTCTTTGCTAAAAATGTCTCATCTGAGAATCTGGCGTTGTTTGATGTCGTTTACTTATTTTTGACACATTACATTCGGATGGAAAAAATACAGTTGTTTAGGGTGTGCGTGTTTTTGTATGTATTATGAACGTGTAGACTGTAAGCCTTTAGTTTTTCATTTTCATTTTCTTGGACTTCATTTTCCCCCCAGTTGTTACCAGCTCCAAGCCTTTCTACTAAAGAAAGGCAGGCTGGGCACGGTGGCTCACGCCTGTAATCACAGCACTTTGGGAGCCAAGGCGGCGTATCACCTGAGGGCAGGAGTCCCAGACCAACCTGGCCAACGTGGTGAAACCCTGTCTCTAGTAAAAATACAAAAATTAGCAAGGCGTGGTGGCGGGGCCCATGTAATCCCAGCTGTTGGAGATAAATAAAATGCTCGGTGCTGCAAAGTGAAATCAGCATTCAGGCAAAAGTTTTCCAAGCAAGGCATTTCTACAGAAGGGTGCGTTTTGCGGATGGAGCATTGGCGGGAGCACACCGGGGAAGGGAAGGTAAGGGGTTTTATCTCTGAGGCAGGATTCCTACCTCCCTGTCACTCCCCCAAGAGTTGGGGTCGGACTGCAGACTATTGGCTATTTGTGAATATTTTCCCCAAATAAGGAAGGGAAGGGGGATGTGTGAGTCACAATGTTGGGACATGCGGTTTTGAACGGTGGAATAGTTGTAGAGTGGTTAGCCAAAGGAACAGATGTGAGTTATCGATTAGGGAAGGTTGTTTATAGTAACTAGAGGCAAGGAGGCATGGAGAACAAGAAAGTTGAGTTTGAGAATAAAGACCTGGGAAGTTAACAGGCTGAACTTTTGAAGATAAATTCAGAGAACTATATTATATCTTACACAGCTACTCCAAAGGCTGAGGCAGGAGAATCGCTTGAACCCTGGGGGCGGAAGTTTCAGTGAGCCGAGATCCCGACACTGCACTCCAGCCTAGGCTACAAGAGCAAAACTCTGTCTCAAAAAACAAAGAAAAAAGAAAGGCAATAATACTCAGGTGTTCTCTTAATGTGAAGTTGCCTTCAATAGGGGCCTCAAGGAAGAAAGGATGGAGGTTTGATTACACTGATACTAGGATTATTTATTGTTATAATTAGATACTAGGATTATTTATTATTATAATTAGAATATTATTCTAGTATTAGTGTAATAAAGTAGTATCTACAGAATTTATTCTTCTTAACAGCATGTTTGGTCTAAGTGTCGTTTTTACATTTTTTCCGAAAAATTTGATCCTAAGGAAAACTTGAACATCTGACACACCCAGTTTAGTATATTTATTTATTTTTTTTTAGCATTGTGCTTGTTTTCTTTCTCCTCAAGTAAATAAATCTTATGGTGAACAATTTGAGTGTAAACTGAGCATGAATTGCACACGTCATACTTGACCTTTAAATACTTGGTAATGTGTCTCCTAAAAAAAAGGCATTGTCATACTAAAACCACAGTACTACTATTTCACTTAAATAAAAAATAATGTCATGAAATGTTGACTTTGTGTAATAACTAAAATTCTCCTCATTGATGCAACATATGCTCTTAGGTGTTTTTGGATCTAAGATCCATTCAGGATTTTTGCATTGTAATTTCTAGTGTCTTCAGTGTCTGTTTACCTAGAACAGTTATTGTCTAGTATGTTGACTTTCACAGAGTCACATTCTCTCTCTTTTTTGTTTTTAAAGATGGGGTTTCTCCATGATGGCCAGGCTGGTCTTGAACTCCTGATCTCAGGTGATCCACCCACCTCGGCCTCCCAAAGTGCTAGGATTACAGGTGTGAGCCACGGTACCCAGCCGTCACATTCTCTTAGAAAGTCATACAATCAAATATTTCTTTGGATTCTCATGGTGTGTATAAATATTCCTTTATTTCATGGGATTTCCTACAAACCTGCAATTGGATCCAGAGGAGGAGCTGACAACCTGTGTTTGACAAGGGCTGACAGTATGTACTTCATGCTTTGGAGACCATAAAGTCTCAAGTTACTCAGTTTTGTCTTAGTGACTTGATGTCCCATGATTTGTTGTTCATTCTCTGTCACGGTGCTAGTGACAAACCACAAAAGAAAAAGTTAATCTGCATAAGAGGCATGGATTGACTCTGGAATACCAGAGGGCTGTACTCTACATCTTCTGTTGGTGCCTGCCAGAGGCTTCCAATAAATAGATGATATTTAACGTGGACACGTTGAGTATCATTGGGTCTGCTGGATCAAGTGCACCAAGTGCTTTGGAAGCCTGCACTGCAGCCTGAAATTGCTCTGGTGTACAGTTGAAACTAGAATCCCTACAGGCAAGTGTGTGGGTGTAAAAGCACCTGTAACTGTAAATGTTGCCTCCAAAATTCAAGAGGCCTACAGATGGTATTTCTATTGATAGTTCTATTTTTAGTTTTTCTTTTCTTTTTTTTTTTTTTTTTGAGACAGTCTCACTCTGTCGCCCAGGCTGGACTGCAGGTGACGAAATCTCGGCTCACTGCAACCTCTGCCTCCCAGGTTCAAGCAGTTCTCTGCCTTAGTCTCCCAAGTGGCTGGGATTACAGGCACCTGCCACCATGCCCTGCTAATTTCAGTATTTTTAGTAGAGACAGGGTTTTACCCCCTTGGCCATGCTGAGTCTTGAACTCCTGACCATGTGAGCCACCATGCCTGGCCTATTTTTAGTTATTTGAGATCAGAGATATTGCTAGTGATAATTTTACAGGCATGAGCCACTGCGCCTGAATATTGTTCTTTATAGTGGCTGTACTAATTTACGTTCCCACCAATTTCATACAAGGATTTTCTTTTCACCACATCCTCATCAGCATTTATGATTCCCTGTCTTTTTTTTATAAAAGCCTCTAAATGAGGTGAGATAATACCTCATTGTGGTATGTGTGATTTGTATTTCTCTGATGATTAATGATGTTGAGCATTTTTTCATATAACTGTTGGCTATTTGTATGTCTTTTTGAGAAACATCTATTCTGACCTTTTGCTAATTTTTTTTGGATCAGATTTTTTTTTTTTGCTATCAAGTTGTTTGAGTTCCTTATCTATTCTGATTATTAATCCTTTGTCAGGTGGATAGTTTATATTTTCCTCCATACTGTAGATTGTCTCTTCACTTTTTTGATGTGTTTCTTTTGCCGTGGAAAAGCTTTTTAGCTTGATGTAATCTCATGTGTTTATTTTTGCTCTCGTTGCCTGTGCTGTTTTTTCTAACCAAAAATCTTTACCCAGATCAATGTCCTGGATGTTTCCCCATTGTTTCTAGTAACTAGATTGTTACTGGTCTTCCTCTAGTAATAATTTTATAGGTTTTTTATTTTTATTTTTTTGAGACGGAGTCTTGCCAGTCACCAGGCTGGAGTGCCAGTTTTGTGATTGCAGCTCACTGCAACCTCCACCTCCCGGATTCAAGCGATTCTCCTGCCTTAGCCTCCTGAGTAGTTTGGACTGCAGGCGCCCACTACCATGTCCAGCTAATTTTTGTGTTTCTAGTAGAGATGGGGTTTCACCATGTTGGTCAGGAAGGTCTCAATCTCCTGACCTTGTGATCCACCCACCTGGGCCTCCTAAAGTGATGGAATTACAGGCATGAGCCACTGCGCCCAGCGTTTTGTTGTTGTGGTTTGTTTGTTTTTTGAGATGGAGTTTTTTTCTTGTTGCCCAGGCTGTAGTGCAATGGCGTGATCTCGGCTCACCGCAACTTCCACTTCCGGGGTTGAAGCCATTCTCTTGCCTCAGCCTCCTGAGTAGCTGGGATTCCAGGCATGCACCACTATGCCCGGCTAATTTTGTTTTTTTAGTAGAGACAGAGTTTCTACATGTTGGTCAGGCTGGTCTCGCACTCCCGACCTCAGGTGATCCACCTGCCTTGGCCTCTCAAAGTGCTAGGATTACAGGTGTGAGTCACTGTGCCCAGCCACTTAGATTATTTTTAATTTACCTTTTGATTTTTTTTTTTTTTTTTAAGAGACAAGGTCTGTCTCTGTCACCCAGGCTGGAATACACTGGTGTCATGGCTTACTGCAGCCTCTACCTAGGCTGAAGCAGTCCTCCAACCTCAGCCTCCTGAGTAGGTGACGTGTATACCACCACACCTGGCTACTCTTTGTGCTTTTTATTAGAGATGGATTTTCATCATGTTGCCCAGGCTGGTCTTAAACTCCTGAGTTTGTCAAGCAATCTGGCTGTGTTTGCCTCCCAAAGTGATTTTCTTTCTTTAAAATTTTTCTAGGTCACTGCCTTCTTTTCAGCACTAGATGGAATCTTACACCTAGATTATTTAGATGGTGTTGTCATCTGAACAATATTATCTATCAGGGGGCTGAGGCAGGAGAATTGCCTGAACCCAGGAAGTGGAGGTTGCGGTGAGCTGAGATCACGCCATTGCACTCCAGCCTGGGTAACAAGAGCGAAACTGTCTCAAAAAAGAAAGCAGGGAACTCATTTCAGCAATGGTATTTGTTGCAGTCATACCTGTCCTATGAAGAATACTAGCACAGCTGTTTGAGGATTACGATACTCCTCTCCTCTCTCAATAACCTTTGTGAAGAGAGTGTCTTCTGCATTCTCAACAGAGGACAGGGAAGTGGATACAGATGACACATAGTAAATCCAGTGACACTCCTGTCTCTAGGATTCCCTCTTTCTCATTTTGCCAGGGAAGCTCTGGCATATGAGTCTCATTAATTATAACAATTTCAGCTCTGAGAACATAAGAAATAGCTTTATTTCAGGGGTGTTCTAAAGAAGCTCTCTGATTCTTTTTTTTTTGAGACGGACTCACTCTGTTGCCCAGGCTGGAGTGCAGTGGGGTGATCTTTGCTCACTGCAGCCTCCGCCTCCTGAGTTCAAGTGATTCTCCTCCCTCGGCCTCCTGAGAAGTTGGGACTACAGGCACATGCCACAACACCTGGTTAATGTTTGCATCACCTGAAACAGGTTGGGCGGTGACAGGTTTTAGTGAGTTAAGATTGTGCCACTGTAACTCCAGCCTACAACAGAACAAAAATCCATCTCAAAAAAAAAAGAGGGAGAGAGGGATACAATACACCCATGGTATGTCAAAAGCTCCAAAAGAGAAAATATTCAAACTTTTGACAATACTGTGAAAAAAGTAATGATCTCAGCCCAGCATGGTGGCTCAAGCCAGTAATCCCAGCACTTTGGGAGGCCGAGGTGGGTGGACCACCTGAGGTCAGGACCAGCCTGGGCAACATGGTGAATCTCCCCTTCTCTACAAAAATACAAAAACATTTAGGCAGGCGTGATGGTGGGTGCCTGTATTATCAGCTGCTCAGGAGGCTGAGTTGGGAGAATCACTCGGACCCGGGAGGTGGAGGTTGCAGTGAGCCAAGATCTCGCCATTGCATTCCAGCCTGGGCAACAGAGTGAGACTGTCTCAAAACAAGCAAACAAAATAATGATTTCACTTTGCACTTGCATTATTTCCTATTTGAATGAAAGTTTTAATGGTTTTTATTTTAATTTTTTGGATACAGGGCCTCACTCTATCATATAGGCTGGAGTACAGTGGTGTAGTCATGCTTCTTGCAGCCTCAGCCTCCCCAGGCTCAGGTGATTTTTTTAAATCAACCAAAGAGCTGGGATTACAGGCATTAGCCACTGTGCCCACTCTTTACTGGTTTTTAAATGTGTATTTAAGCCTGAATGATGGCTATAGGGTCAGAGATAACCAATCTCCTCAGGGCACAAATGAGATACATGAAATTTGAGCTCTTTTAAACTAGCCTCACTGCTCTCTTTAGGAATACGGTTATTTTTTCTTGGATAGATTTGTCATCTCTTGCGTAAGCCTCTTCCATTGGTGTATCTTTCCATCTGCACAGGACCTGTTCAAACGCAGTCTGTGTCTTGACTGGAGGACGAGGAGGAAAGTCGAGCACATCGCCGATAGGAGTTCTCCAAGGTGAGTGTGAAGAACACCTGGTCAGTGAGAAGTTCAGTGTGTTTGGAAGCATAATGAAGACATTTGAAAGATGTACTTTGTCACAGAACGTGGGGCCTTTGGACTTGGAAGTTTTAGGGTATCTTCAACGTTCCATATTCCTCTCTTTTTCATCCAACCCAGACTTTCATATGATTTTGCAAACAATCTGCTCTTTTTTCTTTTTATGATTTTTTTTTTTTTTGAGATGGAGTTTTGCTCTTATTACCCAGGCTAGAGTGCAATGGCGTGATCTCGGCTCACCGCAACCTCCGCCTCCTGGGTTCAAACAATTCTCCTACCTCAGCCTCCTGAGTAGCTGGGACTACAGGCTGCGCCACCATGCCCAGCTAAGTTTTTGTATTTTTTTTAGTAGAGACGGGGTTTCACGATGTTGACTAGGATGGTCTTATCTTCTGACCTAGTGATCCACTCACCTTGGCCTCCCAAAGTGCTGGGATTATAGGCATGAGCCACTGCGCCCATGATTTTAATGTGTGCTTTTCATCCAGATCGTTCCTACTTTTCTTTCCTAATAATACCACTTCTGTTCACTATCATTTAATTTCCACAGAATAAATTGTTTAAAAAAATTACTAAATTGCCAGGCACAGTGGCTCATACCTGTAATCCCAGCACTTTAGGAGGCTAAGGCAGGCAGATCACTTGAGATCAGGAGGTGAAGACCAGCCTGGCCAACGTGGTGAAACCCTGTCTCTACTAAAAATACAAAACTTAGCCGGGTGTGGTGGCACTCGCTTGTAGTCCAGCTACTCGGGAGGCTGAGGCAGGAGAATCTCTTGAACCCAGGAGGCGGAGACTGCAGTCAGCCAAGATCATACCACTGCACTCGATTGGGCAACAGAGTGAGACTGTCTTGGGAGTGGGGGTGGAAAGAACAGCTACAACTTGGGTGACCATGTGATTAAGTTTATGGTAGTTTAGTCATTCTCCAAGATCAAAGTGACTTCTGCACAGGGCAGAGTAGTATGTTTATTTAATGAGAATGAGGAAGTAGTAAGTATCATAACCACTGGTCCTTATGGTGGCATTATTCTTTGCAGTTCCCCAAGATATATTACTTCTAGTTTATTGTATTAGCGGATAGGTAATTTGTAGTGCCTCCAGTTTGCTTTTTCTACCGAAATGGTCCTCACCTTACCGATCAGAGAGCCAATTTTAGGGATGCTGTTAGTTCCCAGAAATTCCTGTCTTCTGATTATATATTCAGGAACTGGGGAAATAATGATGGAATAGGTCCATAGTTCAAGTGGGCCCTCGATAAGTACTTAAGACACTATCTATCACCGAACTACCGTAAGTCTTCACTTTGGTAGTGGCCCACAGTGGTCTTTTGGGTCCCCAGAATGTGGTTTCAGCTCAGGGCCACTTTGTTAATTGTCTATATTTTCTTTTTTTCTCAGATGGAGCCTCACTCTGTTGCCCGGGCTGGAGTCCAGTGACGTGATCTCAGCTTGATGCCTCCTGGAATCAAGCAATTCTCCTGCCTAGCCCATAGAGAGCTGTGATTGTGCCACTGTACTTCAACCTAGGCAACAGAGTAAGACCCTGTCTCAATACACAGATAGATACATAGATACACAGAGTTATTGATAGCTATTGGGAAAGATGGTTATGATAATTACGTGAGCATGTATATATAAAGCTACTAGAGCTTCTTCTGACATACTAGTCCTCAGTAAATGTTAGTCACCGTTAATACTGTCGTTAACTGAGTGACAATATTGAGTGGATATTTTGGTGGCTTTCACATCTGTCACCTGCAGAGAGAAAGCTCATGTATAATGTTCGATGACTGATGTTTGATGCTTGCTGTTTGATGATTGATATGAACAGGACCACAAATAACCCTGTACAAAGAGGAATGGAGATTGCCTCTCTCCACCTAGGTTCATAAGCTTCCCTGAGGCGATCTTGGCATGAAGGAAGAGAGAGCATTGAGGCACATCTCACCATCAGCTTCAGAGGATGGCAGCTATTGATTTGTCCTGTGGTAAGTCCTCGTTGATGCTCTTTTTCAGAGATTCTGCATTAGGTTGCCCTCCACAACATAAGAGTTCAGTGAGCTGGGCCTGAGCAGGCATGCCGCAGTTTCTCTTTTTTTGTTTCGTTTTGTTTTTTTTTTTGAGACAGAGTTTTGGACTTGTTGCCCACTCTGGAGTGCAATGGCTGGATCTCAGCGCACCACAACCTCTGCCTACAGGGTTCAAGCAATTCTCCTGCCTCCCAAGTAGCTGAGATTACTGGCATGCACCACCATGTCTGGCCAATATTGTATTTTTAGTAGACATTGGGTTTTTTCATGTTGGTCAGGCTGGTCTCGAACTCCTGACTTCAGGTGATCCGCCCACCTCAGTCTCCCAAAGGGCTGGGATTACAGGTGTGAACTACCATGCTCAGCCACCACTGGTTCTTCTGGAGGAATTGAAGTGAGACACAGAATGCTGGTTTTAAAATTAATTAATTTATTTATTTTTTGAGATGGAATCTTCTGTGTCGCCCAGGCTGGAGTGCAGTGGCATGATCTCAGCTCACTGCAACCTCCACTTCACGGGTTCAAGCAATTCTCTGCCTCAGCCTTCTGAAATTTTTTTTTTCCTCTGTAGAGACGGGATTTCACCATGTTGGCTAGGCTGGTCTCAAATTCCTCACCTCAAGTGATTTGCCTGCCTTGGTTTCCCAAAGTGTTGGGATTACAGGCAGGAGCCACTGTGCCTAGCCAGAATGCTGTTTTAGAATTCAGCCCTGGTTTGTGTGCCTTAGGAAATGCTACATAAGCTTCATGAATTTTACTAGTATGGGCAGATAGTCACATTTTTCAGGGTGTAAGTTTTCTTGTAAAATGAAACTATTACCCTTTACCCAACAGGCAGCTCAGCCCACATCTGCTTTTCTGAGTCTAGGTGACAAGGACTACTATGGCATTTCGTGGGAGTGTTGTCTGTCTGCAGTTTTCTTGTGTGTGCAGGAGTATATGGGAATTTCAAACTGGGAAGGACTTCTAGGCATATGAATGTGGGAAGTACAGGTAGCTCTGGCTTCTCATGCCTTCTTACTTTTCCACTAGGGTTTTTTCCCAGGGAAGCAATCTGCCCTCTTGAAGAAAAGACAAAGGTAGAAAGGACGGTGGTGGACTACCTGGCAAATGGTTATCAGGTAAAGTGAAAATGTACTGTTGTACAAAATGTCATACTTACATCCAGTAGGTGGACACATTTCCTTCTAGACAGACTCATCTCCAGAGTTCTCTTAGAGCAAATGAAGCCTCACTGAAGGACTGAGTCCCCAGATGAATTTCTCTAGGGAATGAAATCTCTTATAGATAAAGTGTTAACTTGAAAATCATCCCATGATCTCAGTAATAACTTAATTAAGCTTGACCTTCATGGTGCCAGGTTCATCTTTGTTTGATTGCTGGGTGCTGTGACAGATGATGAGGCAGATGAAAGTGTCCTTTTATCAAATAATTTATTCATGCATCAGCATTTATCAGATATCTGCAGTGTGCTGAGGAGTGTGCCGCATAGAGACAGATGGTATAGGAAGAGCTTCTAGCCTGGTGGTGATTGTGCTGAGATAAAGTGTAAGCTGTGGGCAGTGGCTCATGCCTGTAATTCCAGCTACTCGGGAGGCAGAGGTCAGAGGAGCACTGCAGCCCAGGAGATTGAAGCTTCAGTCAGTCACCAGTGATTGTGTCTGGGTGACACAGTGGGACCCTGTCATTATATATAAATAAATACAGATTAGATGGATGGATGGATAGGTGGATAGCTGCTAGATAGGTAAAAATTGATGTTTAGGAAGTGCTGTTCTAATCAAAATAAAAATAAGAATTTAAAATTTAAAAATTAAAAATATTTACAAATTTAAAATAAACAGATTTAAAAAACCAATTAAAAAAATTTTTTAAAACGTGCTGTTTGACTGGTCACAGTGGCTCATGCCTGGAATCCCAGCACTTTGGGAAGCTGAGGCTGGCAGATTACCTAAGATCAGGAGTTCAAGACCAGCCTGGCCAACATGGTGAAACCCCATCTCTACTAAAAATAAAAAATTACCCAGGTGTGGTGGCACATATGCCTATAGTCCCAGCTACTCGGGAGGCTGAGGCAGGAGAATCCCTTGAACCCGGGAGGCAGAGGTTGCAGTGAGCCGAGATGGCACTACTGCACTCCAGCCTGGGTGACAGTGATACTCCCTCTCAAAAAAAAAAAAAAAAGTGCTGTTCAAGGTACATGCCTATAGGAGGTCATCTTTGAGTGTTTAGACACAACAGCTCCTGAGACATTAAACCCTGGAGTAGATGTTGGGAGATCTCAGAACCACATATAAATGAGTAGGTTCCCCTTCCTCATTCTCCAGTGAACATTGGTGGAAGTGTTCATTGGCTCAAACCATCATGTGTGTGATGACTTAGGATTCAGTGACCTTTGATGATGTTGCTGTGGAGTTCACCCCAGAGGAGTGGGCTTTACTGGACACAACTCAGAAATACCTCTACAGAGATGTGATGCTGGAGAACTACAAGAACCTGGCCTCTATGGGTAAGAGTCACATCATTTTGCTGGGCATGGTGGCCTGCACCTTTAGTCCCAGATACTTGGGAGGCTGAGGTGGGAGAATTGTTTTAGCCTGAGAGTTTGAGACTAGCATGGGCAACATTGTGAGACCTCGTTTCTAAAAAAAAGATTAAAAAAAAAAAAGACTAGGCTGGGTGCAGTTGCTCATGCCTGTAATTCCAGCACTTTGGAAGGCCAATATGGGCAAATCATCTGAGGTCAGGATTTTGAGACCAGCCTGGCCAAAATATTGAAACCCTTTCTCTACTAAAAATACAAAAAACTAGCCAGCTGTGGTGGCGGGTGCCTGTAAACCCAGCTATTAGTTTGGGACCAAAAAACTGCTTGAACCCAGGAGGTGGAGGTTGTAGTGAGCTGAGATTGCGCCAAGGAACTCCAGCTGGGGCGACAGAGGGAGACTTTGTCTCAAAAAATAAATAAAGACTAGCAGACGGGCACAGTGGCTCATGCCTGTAATCCTGGCACTTTGGGAGGCCAAGGAGGGCAGATAATGAGGTCAGGAGTTCAAGACCAACCTGGCCAACATAGTGAAACTCAGTCTTTCCTAACAATACAAAAATTAGCTGGTCATGGTGGCACATCCCTGTAGTCCCAGCTACTCCAGAGGCTGAGGCAGGAGAATCCCTTGAACCCAAAGGCAGAGGTTGAGGTGAACTGAGATCATGCCACTGTATTCCAGCCTGGGCTGACAGAGTAAGACTCTGTCTGAAAAAAAAAAAAAAAAAAAAAAAGACTAGCATCATCTCTTATAGCCTGTTATAGAACACAAGTATAGTGAAACCCCGTCTCTACTAAAAATACAAAAAACTAGCTGGGCATGGTGGCGCGTGCCTGTAATCCCAGCTACTCGGGAGGCTGAGGCAGGAGAATTGCCTGAACCCTGGAGGCAGAGGTTGCGGTGAGCCGATATCGCGCCACTGCACTCCAGCCTGGGTAACGAGCGAAACTCCGTCTCAAAAAAAAAAAAAAGAGAGAGAGAACACAAGTATGTTACATCCTTGCTTGTCAATTCTGAATACAGTGGGGAATAACAGAGAATGTCCCAAATAACAGTCCCTGCTGTAATAGGTTTTCATTTACTGTGGTAACTCTTGAAACATCATCAACTGCATCTGTATCATGCTGTTAGAAATGTCCATCTTCGTGGGGTGTGGAGGGTGGGGAGCGATAACAGGCAGAGAAATGCCAGATATAGTATGCACCAAAAGTAAAATAAATTAAAAAGAAAAAGAATGCTGCTCAGGGGATTAGATAAGATGATTTAAAACTCAAAATAAAAACTACCAGCCAGTATATTGTAATGAGGTAGATAAAACTATTTCTGGAAAACAGTGGCCATACAACTTCCCTGTGAAAAATTTCAAAAAATAAAAAAATGCCCAGTTACCCTGAGATAATTCATAAGGGATGCCAAGGTCCAAGCTGACCATCAACTCCAAAGCTGAAGAGAGGGAAAAGAGATCTGTATTATAGAAGTGGTAGAAGAATTTGGCATTGGGTAAAATCCAAAGTCAGGGCTGAGAAAAAGATACTAGCAGCACAATAGGACCAATGTGCTTGTCCTTTAGTCTGCTAAGAGTTATTATGATTTATTTGAGATACTTGTTTACAGTTTTTTAACATTAGTTTGGGGGTATAGATGGTATGTTGGTTTGCATGGCCTATTATGACAAATTTTGTCTGATGTAATGTAAAAAAAAAAAAAAATTTACATTTTTTTTTTTTGGAGACAGAGTCTCGTTCTGTTGCCAGGCGCCAGGCTGGAGTACAATGGCTTGATCTTGGCTCACTGCAACCTCCATCTTCCAGGTTCAAGCAGTTCTCCTGCCTCAGCTTCCCAAGTAGCTGGGACTACAGGGGCATGACACCATGCCCAGCCAATTTTTGTATTTTTTTAGTAGAGATGGGGTTTCACCATGTTGGCCAGGATGGTCTCGATCTCTTGACCTCATGATCCGCCCGCTTCAGCCTCCCAAAGTGCTGGGATTACAGGCGTGAGCCACCATGCCCGGCCAGAAATGTGCATCTTCATTCCCATGTCTTTGACTAATAAATTGGAAACTTCAGGGTTTGGGCCCAGTCATCTGTGTTTTTAGAATCCCTAAAGATGAATCTAATATACTGCCGTGTTTGAGATTCAGTGGCAGAGTTGTTTAGCCATGAGAGCAAGCATCTTTTTCTTGTACTTACTTTTTTTTTTTTTTTGAGACAGAGTCTCGCCCCATCGCCCAGGCTGGAGTACAATGACATGATCTTGGTTCACCCTGCAACCTCAGCCTCCCAAGTAGCTGGGATTACAGGCACCCGCCACTGTGCCCCACTAAGTTTTTTAAATTTATTTTTATTTTTAGTAGAGACAGGGTTTCACCATCTTGGCCAGGCTGAATCTTGAACTCCTGACCTTGTGATCCAGCTGCCTCAGCCTCCCAAAGTGCTGGATGAGCCATCGTGCCTAGCTTACTTACATGTAAAAGTTTGGCCAGGTGTGGTGGCTCACTCTTGTAATCCCAGCACTTTGGAGGCCCAGGTGGGTGGATCACCTTACGTCAGGAGTTCAAGACCAGGCTAGTCAGCATGGCGAAACTTCGTCACTAGTAAAAATACAAAAATTAGCTGGGCATGGTGGGGTGTGCCAATAGTCCCAGCTACTTAGGAGATTGAGGCAGGAAAATCGCTTCAACCTGGGAGGTGGAGGTTGCAGTGAGTCAGGATTGCAACACTGCACTCCATCCTGGTGACAGAATGAGACTATGTTTCAAAAAAAAAACATACAGAAAAAGAAATAAAAGTTTTAGTGCTTTGTAAATGTGTACGTCAGCCTGAATTTGGGTTTAATTGGTCGAGATAACCAATTTTGGGGGGCACAGAAATGCAGATCTTTGCTTGTTTAGCCCCCCCCCTTTTAAAAGCCCTTTTGTTTTAATTACATTGCTTTTATTAGAAATATATCTCCTGGCTGAGCGCTGTGCCTCATCCCTGTAATCCCAGCACTTTGGGAGGCTGAGGTGGGCGGATCACCTGAGGTTAGGAGACCAGCCTGGCCAACATGGTGAAACCCCATATCTACTAAAAGTACAAAAAAAATTAACCAGCCGTGGTGGCAGGTGCCTGTAATCCCAGCTACTCAGGAGGCTGAGGCAGGAGAATCACTTAAACCCAAGAGGCTGAGGTTGTAGTGAGTCAAGATTGCACCACTGCACTCCAGCCTGGGAGACAAGTAAGAGATTCTATCTCAAAAAAAAAAGAAGGTAGAAATAAATCTCCTAAATCATAGGAAGGTTTGTCATTTCTTGCATGAGCCACTTCGTTTAATGTCTTTCCACCTGCACAGGTTGTCAGCTGTTCATACCCAACCTGACCTCTTGGTTAAAACAAGAAGAGTTGAAGACAATGGAGAGTGGAGTTCTTCAGCGTGAGTATTTGTAAAACAGAACTCTAATGAGAAGTTCCGTATGTTTTTGCAAATAAAAAAAAGGAGATTTTTAGGCCAGGCGCAGTGGCTTATGCCTGTAATCCCAGCACTTTGGGAGGCTGAGGCAGGTGGATCGCCTGAAGCAAAATTTGACTGGGTGCAGTGGCTCACACTTGTAATCCCAGCACTTTGGGAGGCCGAAGCAGGGGGAATCATGAGTTCAGGAGATTGAGACCATCCTGGCTAACATGGTGAAACCCAGTCTCTACTAAAAATGCGAAAAATTAGCCGGACATGGTGGCACATGCCTGTAGTCAAAGCTACTTGGAAGGCTGAGGCAGTAGAATTGCTTGAACCCAGGAGGCAGAGGTTGCAGTGAGCCGAGATTGCGCCACTGCACTTCACCCTGTGCAAGGAGTAAGACTGTTCTAAAAAAACAAATAAAAGATTTTTAAAGATGCATTTGGGCCGGGCGCGGTGGCTCAAGCCTGTAATCCCAGCACTTTGGGAGACCGAGGCAGGTGGATCACGAGGTCAAGAGATCGACCATCCTGGTCAACATGGTGAAACCCTGTCTCTACTAAAAATACAAAAAAGTAGCTGGGCATGGTGGTGCGTGTCTGTAATCCCAGCTACTCGGGAAGCTGAGGCAGGAGAATTGCCTGAACCCAGGAGGTGGAGGTTGCGGTGAGCCGAGATCGCGCCATTGCACTCCAGCCTGGGTAACAAGAGCGAAACTCCGTCTCAAAAAAAAAGAGGCACTTGGCCTCAGAAGATTTAAGCTATTTTTATCAGAATTTCAGATATCTCTGACTTATTTTCTATCTAGTCACAAATTCCTATGATCTAACAAAACTACCTGTTCTCGTTTTTTGTTGATTTTATCATTTTAATATATGCTCTTTATCCAGATCTTCCTGCTTTCCCTTCCTGATAATCTCTTCCTGTTCACCATTGGTTTTAGTTTTCACAGAAGCAGTGTGTAATAAACTACCTAAACTTCTCAGTTGTGTAATAAACCGTACATCCTTATAGCCAAAGCTTTGCTGTAATACCAAATCCTCAAGGTTCCCTGGCTTTTATTTTGTTACTGTGTTTAATTTGAAAGCAAGTACTAATGACTCATTATTTTAAACCACTTAAGTATAACATTTCTTCTCTAAACCCTCACATTACTTTTTCTGCTTAACTTCAGAATGGGAAATACAACCTAGAACCCAAGGGTTATCACTTCAGCAGAGATTTTTGAAGAATGAAATCTTCAATGGGATACAAATGGTAAGATTAATGAGGGATGTTTCTTAGTTTCTTCTCTCAGAAAAGATTGAGAATTCCATTCTAGAAAATTAGCATAGTCAGAGCTGTGGCTTACATCTGTAATCCCAGCTACTTGGGAGGCTAAGATGGATCATTTGAGACCAGCCTGGGCAATATAGCAAGATCACATCTCTGATTTTAAAAAGAGGCTGGATATGGTGGTTCATGCCTGTAGTACCAACACTTTGGGATGCCAAGGTGCGTGGCTCACTTGAGGTCAGGAGTTTGAGACCAGCCTGGCCAACATGGTGAAACTCTGTCTCTACTAAAGATACAAAATTAGCCAGGCATGGTGGTGGACACCTGTCATCACAGTTACTTGAGAGGCTGAGGCAGGAGAATTGCTCGACCCAGAGGCGAAGGTTGTAGTGAGCCAAGATGGCACCACTGTATTCCAGCCTGGGTGATGGAGTGAGACTCCGCTTCAAAAAAAAAGAAACTGAGTCTCTAATCCCAGGAGGCCGAGGTGGGTGGATCACTTAAGGTTAGCACTTCGAGACCAGTCTGGCCAACGTGGTAAAACTATCTCTACTAAAAATACAAAATTAGCCAGATGTGGTGATGGGCACTTGTAATCCCAGTTACTTGAGAGGCTGAGGCAGAATTGCTTAAACCCGGGAAGTAGAGTTTGCAATGAAAAAAAAACAGCACAAATGAGAAATACTTCAGAGAATTAGAGAAGTAGCCTACACTCGAGGGAATAGGGTCTCTGGAGAGATACTCTGAATGTGATAAGTTTTCTGATGTTCTAAACCTGTATAACTTGTCACTTTAGAATACCCAGAAGTATACATTCCCACATATGTAACTAGTCATTGAGGATTTAAACAGTTTCATGAATATCTACACAATTTGGCTGTGTGCAATGGCTGATGCCTGTAATCCCAGCACTTTGAGAAGCTGAGGCAGGAGAATTGCTTGAATCTGGGAGTTCAAAACCAGCCTGGGCAACAGGGAGACCCTGTCTCTGCAAAAAATTAAAAATGAGCCAGGCGTTTTGGCATACGACTTTAGTCCAAGCTCCTTGGGGGACTGAGGCAGGATGATGGCTTGAGCCTGGGAGATTAACGCTGCAGTGAGCTATGACTGTGCCATTGTACCTAGCCTGGATGACAGAGTGAGATCTTGTCTCAAACCACCCCCCCAAAATTAAAATATACAGTTTTCTGGCCGGGCGTGGTGGCTCACGCCTATAATCCCAGCACTTTGGGAGGCTGAGGCAGGTGGATCATGAGGTCAAGAGATCGAGACCATCCTGGTCAACAAGGTGAAATCCGTCTCTACTAAAAATACAAAAATTAGCTGGACATGGTGGCGTGCGCCTGTAATCCCAGCTACTTGGGAGGCTGAGGCAGGAGAATTGCTTGAACCCAGTGGGGGGGTTATGGTGAGCCGAGATCGTGCCATTGCACCCCAGCCTGGGTAACAAGAGGGAAACTCCGTCTCAAAAAATAAAATAAAATAAAATATAGAGGTTTTTTTTTTTTTTTTTTTTTTTTTTTTTTTTTTAAAACAATTAGAGCCAGTGGCATAGAATTCTAGCAAAAGGTCCCATTATTCACTCTGGAAGAAATCAAGAGTTCAGGAAATGAAACCATGAAAGAAAAATTATAAAAATTGTAGTTATGAAACTAGGCTGCCATGGTAGCTCATCGCCGTAATCCCAGCACTTTGGGAGGCTGAGGCAGCTTGAAGAGATTGAGACCAGCCTAGGCTACATAGCAAGACACTGTCTCTACAAAATTAAATTGAGGCTGGGTGCAGTGGCTCATGCTTGTAATCCCAGCAATTATGGAGGCCAAGGTGGGTGGATCACAAAGTCAGGAGTTCGAGACTAGCCTAGCCAACATGGTGAAACTCCATTTCTGCTAAAATTGCAAAAATCATCTGGGTGTGGTGGCATGTGCCTATAATCCCAGCTACTCAGGAGTCTGAGGCACAAGAATCTCTTGAACTGAGGAAGTGGAGATTGCAGTGAGCCAAGATTGCGCCACTGTACTCCAGACAGAGCGAGACTCCATTGCATAAATAAATAGAAAGTTTGGCCAGGCATGATGGTGCGTGCTGAAAGTTTTACCTACACAGGAAGCTAACGCAGGATGATCACTTGAACACAACCAGGAGTTTGAGGTTACAGTGAGCCATGATCACACCAGTGCACTATACCCCAGGCAATGGAGCAAAACGCTAATTTTGAAAAAAGTGAAACGTACTGGACATGGTGTAATCTTACCACTTTGGGAGGCCAAGGCAGGCAGATCACCTGAACTCAGGAGTTTGAGACCAGCCTGGGCAACGTGGCAAAACCCTGTCTCTAAAAAAAAAAAAAAAAAAAAATAGAAAACTTGCTGGGTGCGGTGGCTCAAGCCTGTAATCCCAGCACTGTGGGAGGGCGAGGCAAGTGGATTACGAGGTCAAGAGATAGAGACCATCCTGGTCAACATGGTGAAACCCCATCTCTACGAAAAATACAAAAAATTAGTTGGGCATAGTGGCGCGTGCCTGTAATCCCAGCTACTCAGGAGGCTGAGGCAGGAGAATTGCCTGAACCCAGGAGGCGGAGGTTGCGGTGAGCCGAGATCGCGCCATTGCACTCCAGCCTGGGTAACGAGAGCAAAACTCCGTCTCCAAAAAAAAAAAAAAAAAAAAAAAAATAGAAAACTTAGCTAGGTGCATTAGCATGCACCTGTATTCCCAGCTGCCCCAGCTACGAGGAAGGAGATTCACTTGAGCCTGGGAGGTGGAGGTTGCAGTTGGCTAAGATTGTGCCACTAACACTTCAGACTGGGAGATAGAACAAGACTCTGTGTCAAAAAAAAAAAAAAGGGGCGGGGCAGTAAAAAGTAAAATAATAATTGTCATCAAAATGTTTCTGTCTTTAGGTGAGTGAAATCTCTTAATATGTCTGAAAATGTTTTAAATCCTTTATCTGTTCATCAGCAGACAAGCTACAGTGGATGGAAACTCTGTAAGAATTGTGGAGAGGTCTTCAGTGAACAGTTTTGCCTTAAGACACACATGAGACCTCAGAATGGAGGGAACACTTCTGAGTGTAATTGTTATGGAAAAGACGTCCTCACTGTGCACAGGGAACCGTCTGTTGGATGGGAACTTTCCAAATTTAATCCATGTGGAAAAGTCTTCACCCTAACTCCAGGCCTTGCCGTACATCTTCAAATTCTCAATGCAAGAAAGCCCTACAAATGTAAGGAATGTGGAAAAGGCTTTAAGTATTTTGCGAGCCTTGATAATCACATGGGAATCCACACTGGAGTGAAGCTCTGTGAATTTCGGGAATGTGGGGGAGCCATCACAGCTTCCTCACATGTAAAGCAGTGTGCAACAGTTCATACTGGAAAGAAATCCAAAGAGACTGAGAAATGTGGGAAACCCTTCACTAATTGTTCTCAACTTTCTGCACATGGGAAAACTCATAAAGGAGAGAAGTCCTTTGAATGTAAAGAATATGGAAGATCCTTTAGAAATTCCTCATTCCTTAACGATAACATTCAAATTCACACTGGAATAAAACCACACAAATGTACGGAATGTGGGAAAACATTCACTAGATCAACTCACCTTACTCAACATGTAAGAACGCACACTGGAATAAAACCCTATGAATGTAAGGAATGTGGGCAAGCCTTCACTCAGTACACGGGTCTTGCTATACACATTCGAAATCACAGTGGAGAGAAACCCTATCAGTGTAAGGAATGTGGGAAAGCCTTCAATAGATCTGCAACCCTTACCCAACATAAAAGAATTCACACAGGAGAGAAGCCTTATGAATGCATTGAATGTGGAAAAACTTTCATTACTTCTTCGCATCGTAGTAAACATTTGAGAACTCATACTGGAGAAAAGCCCTTTATATGCAAGGTATGTGGGAAAGCATTTATGTTTTCCTCAGCCCTTAAAGTACACCTGCGAAATCATACTGGAGAGAAACCTTTTGTATGTAAGGAATGTGGGAAAGCATTTGCTGTTTCCTCACGCCTAAGTACCCATGAAAGAATTCACACTGGGCAGAAACCCTATGAATGTAAGGGTATGAATGTTACCATTTAGCCCATCAGTTGCCATTTTTAATTATTGGCAGTGACACCAAAGATCATCATATTTGTCTAAATGCCTTGCGAAGGTTTGTAATGGCTCATGGAGTGGCCTTAGATGCCATCCCGAGGGTCTGAAATTAAACCTACAGATTCTAAATACAACTTCTTCATGGTTACCTGAGTCCGGGCATCTGTAAAGAAGGGTCATGGATACTGAGGTCAGTACTGCAGGCTCCCTCACCTTGGTGATTAGATTCCTAGGACCATGGTATTAACAAGTTCTGAATGAGATAAATCATGCAGGTTTGTTTTATCCCCTGTTGGTTAGTGACTGCCAGTGTAGCACATTCATGTCAAAATTTACCAGAAGCCAAGGTGATGTAGGCCCAGAGGTGAACTGTTGAAAGATGTTCTTCCAAGGGTCTCTTCTGTTTCTATGGATCCTGCAGAGCATGGCAGAAATTAAACCATCCTTAACTGCCAGTGCACTTTCACAGCTGATTATTACTGTGTCGTCTTATAAAATCTAAGAAGTGTGACAGCCTTGCCTGTTCTGTTCTGCCTTCTCTCCATTTTAGGTGGCACAATCTAAGTGGCAATGCCACCTCTGGTATAATCCAGTCTCCTCACTTCTGTTAAGATGGCTAATACAGTCCATGAATCCCACTCATGATCTCTGTGCACAAACTAAATGGCTTACAAATTCATTTAACTTTAAATGAAGTTAAAAACACAAAATTTATATTCTCACATTTCTGGATGTTAGAAGTCTGAGATCAGAGTGCCAGCATGGTCAGTTTCTTGTGAGAGCTCTCTTTCTGGCATGCAAATGCCTACTTCCACATGTCTTCACATGATGGAGACCAAGAAATCAATTTATTGGTCTCTCTCTTTCCCACCCTCCTTCACTTCCTCCCCCTCTCCCCACAAACACTGCCATTTCTCTACATCATTTAATGATACTTCCTAAAGATCCTATTTTCACATACAGTCACATTGGGGTTTGGAGCTTCAACATAAGAATTTTGGAGGTCATCGTTCAGTCTGGGTAACAACAGCAAAACTCCATCTCAAAAAAAAAATTAAATGTGTAAAGGAATAAAGTACCAAGCACAGTGGCTCATGCCTGTAATTCCAGCAATGTGGGAGGCCAAGGAGGGAGGATCACTTGATCTCAGGAGTTCAAGAGCAGCCTGGGCAACAGAGAGAGATCTCTTCTCTACAAACATTATTTTTAAAAATTAGCTGTATGTGGTGGTGCACATATGTAGTCCCTGGTACTTGGGCAGGAGGATTGCTTGAGCCCAGGAGGTAAAGGCTGCAGTGAGCCATGAAATGCCACTACACTTCAGCCTGTGAGATGGAGTGAAACTGTGTTAATAAACAACAAAAATGAGTGTGATCTCCGCACACTGCAACCTCCACCTCCCGGACTGAAGCAATTCTCCTGCCTCAGCCTCCGGAGTAGCTGGGATTATAGGGATGCACCACCACACCCAGCTAATTTTTGAATTTTTAGTAAAGACAGGTTTTCGGCCCAGCCCAGTGGCCGCCCACCTCAGCCTCCCAAAGTGCTGGGATTAAGGTGTGAGCCACCACTCCGGGCCCATTTTAAGTGTTTTCAACAGAAAAAAAGGTAACTGGGCTGGGCACGGTGGCTCACGCCTGTAATCCCAGCACTTTGGGAGGCTGAGGCAGAGGCAGGCGGAACGCAAGGTCAGGAGTTTGAGATCAGGCTGACCAATATGGTGAAACCCTGTCTCTACAAAAAAAAAAAAAATTAGTCGGGTGGTGTGGCATGCAGCTGTAGTCCCAGCTACTTGGTAGGCTGAGGCAGGAGAATTGCTGGAAACTGGGAGGCAGAGGTTGAGTGAGCCGAAATCAGCCACTGCACTCCAGCCTGGGTAACAGTGAGACTCCATCTCAAAAAAAATTAACTGTGAAGTGATGGATGCATAAATTAGTATCATAGTGGTAATCATTTTACAGTGTTTACCTATACAAAACATCACATTATACACTTAAGTATATATAGTTTTTATTTGTCAATCATGCATCAATAAAGATTGTGGTGGGGATGGGGGGAAGTGGTAGTAGAAATACAGGATATGGACATGTGTAAGAATGGATTTGGAACCTAGTGTTATACAATCCATAAAAATGTACTTACAGTGGATCGGTGCTGGGCGCGGTGGCTCATGCCTGTAATCCCAGCACTTTAGGAGGCTGAGGCGCACAGATCTCAAGGTTAGGAGTTTGAGACCAGCCTGGCCAATATGATGAAACCCCGTCTCTAATGAAAATACAAAAATTAGCTGGACATGGTGGCGAGCACTTGTAGTCCCAGCTACTCGAGAGGCTGAGGCAGGAGAATCAACTGAACCTGGGAAGCAGAGGGAGGCTGCAGTGAGCTGAGATCATGCCACTGTACTTCAGCCTGGGCAACACAGCAAGACTCCATTTGAAAAAAAAAAAAAAAAAAGGATCAAGGTCGGGTGTGGTGGCTCAGCCTGTAATCCCAGCACTTTAGAAGTCAGAGGCATGCTGTCAAGAGTTCAAGACCAGCTTGGCCAACATAGTGCCACCCCATTTCTACTAAAAATACAAAAGATAGCTAGGCATGGTGGCTTGTGCCTGTTGTCCCAGCTACTCAGGATGCTGAGGCAGGACAATTGCTTGAACCCAGGAGGCAGAGGTTGCAGTGAGCTGAGATGGCACCATTGCACTCCAGCCTGGGCAACAGCGAGACTGAAAAAAAAAAGGATTAAAAGCTCTTTCCTTGCCTAATATAGCCATGACTTGTGGTCCCAAGAAGCATCTGAAGGGGTTAGCAGTTCCAAACATTGAATTTTGGATAAATTGACCAGTGTATTTGCTCGTTGTCCATCCACCAGTCCCCACAACTTGAGAGAATGTCTCCCCCTCATCAGTTTCGTAAGGAACAGACTTAATTATGTCTTGACAGGAGATGAAGTAAAGATTTTCTTTTCTTTTTTTTTTTTTTGAGACGGAGTCTTGCTGTTGTTACCCAGACTGGAGTGCAATGGCATGATCTCGGCTCACCACAACCTCCGCCTCCTGGGTTCAAGCAATTCTCCTGCCTCAGCCTCCCAAGTAGCTGGGACTACAGGTGTGTACCACCATGCCCAGCTAATTTTTGAATTTTTAGTAGAGACGGGGTTTCACCATGTTGACCAGGATGGTCTCGATCTCTTGACCTTGTGATCCACCCACCTCAGCCTCCCAAAGTGCTGGGATTATAGGCGTGAGCCACCACGCCCAGCCTAGTAAAGATTTTCATGCAGCAGTTCATTAAGATCAATGGCAAGGTCCGAACTGATATCACCTACCCTGCCAGAATCATGGATGTCATCAACATTGACAAGACAGGAGAGAATTTGTCTGATATCTGACACAAGGTTCGCTTTGCTGTACATCATATTACACCTGAGGAGGACAAGTACAAGTTGTGCAAACTGAGAAAAATCTTTGTAGGCACAAAAGGAATCCCTTATCTGGTGACTCATGATTGCACCATCTGCTACCCTGATCCCCTTATCAAAGTGAATGATCCCATTCAGATTGGATACTGGCAAGATTACTGATTTCATCAAGTTTGACACTGGTAACCTGTGTATGGTGACTGGAAGTGCTAACCTGGGAAGAATTGGTGTGATCACCAAGAGAAGTAGGCACCCTCAATCTTCCGCCATGGTTCATGTGGAAGATGCCATGACAACAGCTTTGCCACTTAACTTTCCAACATTTTTGTTATTGATAAGGGCAAGAGACCATGGATTTCTCCTCCCTGAGGAAAGGGTATCCACTTCACCACTGCCGAAGAGAGAGACAAAATACTGGTGGCCAAACAGAGCAGTGGGTGAAATGGTCCCTGGGTGACATGTTAAATCTTTGTACGTAAGTAAAAATAATGTGGCATGCTTTAAAAAAAATGGATCAAAAACCTAAATGTAAGAGCTAGAACTAGAAAAAAAAAAAAAAAAAGAACGACTAAACAGAATTGCCAGATGATCCAGATATTCCACTTTAGCATGTATATCCAAGTGTTGAGAACAGGGATTCAAAGAGATATTTGTATTCCGGTGTTCATCCCACTAGTATTCACAACAGCCCACCCTCCCAAACTGAAATTTTAACACACGTGATTGAAGCATAGCCTGAACAAGCCTATTTTTATCCATTTTGAGTTTGCCTGCTTTGTATTCTCTCAGCCTCCTGAATAGCTGGGATTACAGGTGCATGCCACCAAGCCCAACTAAGTTTTGTATTTTTAGTAGAGTCGGGGTTTTACCACGTTAGACGGGATGGTCTCAAACTCCTGACCTTGTGATTAGCCCACCTTGTCCTCCTAAAGTGCTAGGAATATTAACATGAGCCACCTAGCCCGGCCCTTCAGCACTTTTAAAATGGAAGATACACTGCCAGGGTGCTGAGCATCATCACCTAGTCATATAAGCCCCCTCTTTCATGACCTTCTCCTCTTGGAGTCTCTCTTCCTTTCCACCCTTTCTGAACAGTGAGCCTCCAGTAGAAGCCTGTGTATACTCTTGCTGTTTGCTACCTCCCACCACTGCTAACCTGTCAAAGCACATCCCAAATAAAGCTTGTATGCTACTGCTGCCTTGTGGTCACAGCTTTTTCCTTACGCAGCCAAGAAATCACTTGAACACCCTACATGTGGGTATGGTTTATTTTTCACATTTACATCCCTAGTCCATTTGGAGTTTATTCTTACATATGCTGTGAAGTATAGATTTAAATTCATCTTTTTTCACATGGTTAACCAGCTGTCTTAGACCTTCCATTACAAATGGCATTTTTTTCCCCATTGATCTGAAATATTTTTTTTTTGAGACAGTCTTGCTCTTGGTGCCCAAGCTAGAGTGCAATGGCATGATCTCAGCTCACTGCAACCTCTGCCTTCCAGGTTTGAGAGATTCTCCTGCCTTAGTATTCTGAGTAACTGGGATTACAGGTGCCCGCCACCACGCTTGGCTAATTTTTTTGGTATTTTTGGTAGAGATGGGCTTCCACCATGTTGGCCAGGCCGGTTTCTAATTCTTGACCTCAAGTGATCCTCCCACCTCCGCCTCCCAAAGTGCTAGGATTACAGGCGTGAGCCACCACGCTCAGCAAAATACCAGATTTTTTTTTTTCTTTTTGAGACGGAGTTTCGCTCTTGTTACCCAGGCTGGAGTGCAATGGCGCGATCTCCGCTCACCGCAACCTCCGCCTCCTGGGTTCAGGCAATTCTCCTGCCTCAGCCTCCTGAGTAGCTGGGATTACAAGCACGCGCCACAATTCCCAGCTAATTTTTTGTATTTTTAATAGAGAAGGGGTTTCATCACGTTGACCAGGATGGTCTCGATCTCTTGACCTCGTGATCCACCCGCCTCGGCCTCCCAAAGTGCTGGGATTACAGGCGTGAGTCACTGCGCCCGGTGCCTCTCTCTCTCGCTTTCAAGACGGAGTTTCCTTCTGTCACCATGTTCGAGTGCAATAATCTTGGCTCACTGCAACCTCTGCCTCCTGGGTTGAAGCAGTTCTTCTGCCTCAGTGTTTCGAGTAGCTGGGATTACCGGCACACACAACCACGCCAATTTTTGTATTTTTAGTATAGATGGGTTTTCACCATGTTGGCCATGATGGGTCTCAATCTCCTGATCTCGTGATCCACCCGCCTCAGCCTCCCAAAGTGATGGGATTACAGACCTGAGCCACCGCACCCGGCCTCCTTTTGTTTTCTTGGTTATTAGCAGATGTTTATGCTGCCACACAAACTTTTAGTATCAATGTATGTAACTCCAGAAAACCTTCTGGTATTTTTATTGGGATTACGTTACATTTCTGAATAAACTTGGGGAGAATGGTATCAGTGCTATTTTATTTTATTTGTTTTATTTTTTTATTTTTTTTGAGACGGAGTTTCACTCTTGTTACCCATGCTGGAGTGCAATGGCACGATCTCGGCTCACCGCAACCTCCGCCTCTTGGGTTCAGGCAATTCTCCTGCCTCAGCCTCCCGAGTACCTGGGATTACAGGCACGCGCCACCATGCCCAGCTAATTTTTTGTATTTTTAATAGAGATGGGGTCTCACCATGTTGACCAGGATGGTCTCGATCTCCTGACCTCGTGATCCACCCGCCTCGGCCTCCCAAAGTGCTGGAATTACAGGTGTGAGCCACCGCGCCCGGCCCAGTGCTATTTTATAATCAAGTCCTGGCCCATGTGGTAAGATCAGAAAAATAATAAATAGAAATACCTATTTTTAGCCAGGTGCAGTGGCTCAGGCCTGTAATCCCAGCACTTTGGGAGGCCGAGGTGGGCGATCACTTGAGGTCAGGAGTTTGAGAACAGCTTGGCCAATATGGTAAAACCCCATCTCTACTAAAAATACAAAAATTAGCTAGGTGTGGTGGTGTGCGCCTGTACTCCCAGCTACTTCGGAGGGTGAGGCAGGAGAATCACTTAAACCCAGGAGAAGTTGCAGTGGGCTGAGATGTCACCACTGCACTCCAGCCTGGGTGACAGAGTGAGACTCCATCTCAGGAAAAAAAAAAAGAGAAAAAAATTTTTTTTTAATCTTATTTTTTTTATAGACGGGGTGGCTTGCTATATTGCCCAGGCTGGTCTCAAACTCCTGGCCTCAAATGGTCCTCCCACCTTGGGCTCCCAAAGTGCTGGAATTACAGGCATGAGCCACTGTGCCCAGCCAGAAATACGTATTTGATGAAGATAAAAAAGAAATCGCCGGGCGCAGTGGCTCACACCTATAATCCCAGCACTTTGGGAGGCCAAGGCGGGTGGATCACGAGGTCAAGAGATCGAGACCATCCTGGTCAACAAAGTGAAACCCCGTCTCTACTAAAAATACAAAAATTAGCTGGGCACGGTGGTGCGCACCTGTAGTCCCAGCTACCCGCAAGGCTGAGGCAAGAGAATTGCTTGAACCCGGGAGGTGGAGGCTGCAGTGAGCCGAGATCGTGCCATTGCACTCCAGTCTGGGTAACAACAGCAAAACTCCATTTCAAAAAAAAAAAAAAAGTCAAGATTTATAGAAAATATTATTATATTGAAAATGTGGCCAGGCAGTGGCTCATGCCTATAATCCCAGCACTTTCAGAGGCTGAGACGGGTAAATAACAAGGTCAGTAGTTCAATACCAACCTGATCAACGTGGTGAAACCTCGTCCCTATGAATATAAGGTCCAGCCCTATAAATATGAGCCCCTCCCTGTTGGCCCTGAAACAAGAAACTGTAGAAATAAAAGACACGGAGATAGAGAAAAGAAGAGTTTGGGCTCAGGGGTCCTGTGCCAACCAAAGTGCACAGACCTGCAGTGGCCTTGAGTGCCTGGACACTCTTTTATTGAGTACAAAGCAGGGGACAGGGAACATAGGGTGGGGTAATGGTGGACAGTGATAGGGCCACGTAAATCATGTGTCTTGAAGATATGGGGCCCAAGACTTTGAAGTAGCCACGGCGAGGTAAAAGCTAATGCATCAGTACTCTTCGCATATTTGTTAGAAATATCAAGGACATGCTGAGCGCGGTGGCTCACGCCTGTAATCCCAGCACTTTGGGAGGCCGAGGTGGGTGGATCATGAGGTCAAGAGAACGAGACCATCCTGGTCAATGTGGTAAAACCCCGTCTCTACTAAAAATACAAAAAATTAGCTGGGCATGGTGGCGCGCACCTGTAATCCCAGCTACTCAGGAGGCTGAGGCAGGAGAAGTGCCTGAACCCAGGAGGCGAAGGTTGTGGTGAGCCGAGATCGTGCCATTGCACTCCAGCCTGGGTAACAAGAGCGAAACCCGTCTCAAAAAAAAAAAAAAAGAAAAAAGAAATATCAAGGACACTAAGATTATGTTACTATTTTTAATTTTTATCTTTTAAGAAAAAGAGAAACCGGTGCAGAAGCAGGGTGTGAGAGTAGACATGGAACGTGACCACTGAACGAGATGTCTGTGGGCTTCCCTGACAGCTGTCAGGCCTTGCCACAAGAGCTTGGAGAAGCGGAGTTTTCTCCTAACTCCTCCAGGAAGGAGATGTCTTGGTTACTTTGGAGATCTCCTTCCCTAGCTGGCTAAACAGCAGGCACTTTCACAGCACTGACGCTGCATATAGGCGAGGTGCCCTCCAGTACTCTTATGTGGGCGTGACAGAGGGCTTAGAGCATCTTTCGTTAGGATCACTTTGTTTACAGTGTCACCTCAGTTGCATGCTTCATAACCCGATAGTCATTAGTAAAATTAAAGATTATATTGAGTATATATCTTTATGATTAGAAGTAACTAAAAGATTATATATGGTTATATAAAGGAATAACTATGTGCCTACATTTCTAATTCTTTTCTAAATCAATATTTATATGGGAACAGGCTGAGGCTTCAGACCCTTGCCACAGCCCTTGCGGGGTTTCCCCCCTACAATAAAAAAAAAAAAAAAAATTAGCTGAGCATAGTGGCTGGCACCTGCAATCCCAGCTACTCGTAAGATTGAGGCAGGAGAACCGCTTGAACCTGGGAGACAGAGGTTGCTGTGAGCTGAGCTTGCGCCACTGCACTCCAGCCTGGTAGACAGATAAGACTCCATTTCAAAAAAGAAAAAAGGAAACGGGAAAGAAAAAAAAACGCAATGGAATCAGCAGGTTCTGAAAAATAACGAGCGAAGAAATAAAGGGCTACTGAAAGCCTGAATGAATGGAAGAGATAGACCATGCCACTCACTGGCAGGTTTATCAATATGGAATAATCATGGAAAGGCTCTAGGAACATGAGGGGAGGCATACGGAAAAGCTTTACACACACACACACACACACACACACACACACAATCACGAGGTCAGGAGATCGAGACCAGCCTGACCAATATGGTGAAACCCCCGTTTCTACGGAAAATACAAAATTTAGCCAGGCATGGTGGCACACACCTGTAATACCAGCTACTGAGAAGGCTGCAGCAGGACAATCGCTTCAATCAGGGAAGCGGAGGTTGTAATGAGCCGAGATCTCGCCACTGCACTCCAGCCTGGGCTACAAAGCGAGACTCTGTAAAATAAACAAAAAACAACAAGCCAGGTGTGGTGGCGCACACCTGTAATCCCAGCTACTCGGGAGGGTAAGGCAGGAAAATGGCTTGAACCCGGGAGGTGGAGTTTGCGGTAAGCCGAGATCGTGCCATTGCACTCCAGCCTGGGCAACAAGAGCGAAACTCCGTCTCCAAAAGAAGAAGAAGAAGGGATTGCTATTTTGCTCTGGCTGGTCTCGAACTCTTGGACTCAAGCTATCCACCTGCCTTAGACTTACCAAAGTGCTGACATTACAAGCGTGAGCCACTGCGCCCTCCGGGGAAAAGCTCCGGAGAATTTCCTGGCGTGCATCCCATCCTGCATCTCGGCCCTTTAGCCCGCCCGGCCATCTGAACCGTGAGCTAGGCCGGGTCACCTCTAAACTGCCCCGGAGTACTGGCCCACCCCTCGCCCACAGTTCCGTCCAGAGGCCGGGTTCTATCTTCACCTTTTTCTCTAGACCTGTTTCTGCATCCCCCTCTCTGAGCCAAACTCAGGCCCCGTCCGCACCCATCAGGAAGAGAGGTAGAATGACTACGTTCCAGCGGGTCCTAAGCCGCTGAAGTTCCAGCCCAGGGGCCCCGCCCGGCACGAAGCTCGGAGCGGAAGTGACGTCAGCGCGCCGCCGCCATCTTTTTCGGCGCTGGCTCCGCACAGTCTATGTTGTTTCGCCTTAATCGTGGTAGGGTATGTCTCTGCTGTGGTGAGTTCCACCTGCTTGGGGGAGCCGGGAGACAGCAGGGGGGCGGCAAAGGAAGGATTGGGCGCGATTGCCCAGGAGCCTCTCGGATCGGGCTCGTTTCACTTGTTTCTCCAGGGGCTGTCGGCCCTCCCAGCGCAGCCAGTTCCGAGAGGCCGCACGCTCGGTCCGTCCCCGTCAGGAGCCGGGTCGGGAAGTGTGTTTGTCCCGCCTCCGCGGGGTGTTTTCTAGAATGCTTCCATCCGCTGTGCTCCCTTCTTCAAAAGCTTAGAAAGCAGCCTTTGTGATTTTTTTTTTTTCCTTCCGAAAGGAAAAGGCTTTTTGCTGTTCTAATGAGGTTGGCTCCGCCCCGCATCCTCCCGCCTCAGGAACCTGGCGATTCCGGCGTATTCCTGGTGAGCACTGGCAGAAAACTGGTTTCAAGAGGGCTCTGACTTCCATTTCTTTGCCAAGAAATGTCTCATCTGAGAACCTGGCGTTGTCGTTTACAGAATTTTTGACACATTACATTCGAGTTGAAAAAACATAGTTTTTAAGGTTGTACCTATTTCTGTATGTAAATATGAACACGTGTAGACTGTAAGCCTTTATTCTTAAATTTTTATTTTCTTGGACCTTATTTTTTCTTCCAGTTTTACCAGCTACAAGCCTCTCTACTAAAAGGCAGGCTGGGCACGGTGGCTCACGGCCTGTAATCCCAGTATTTTGGGAGGCCGAGGCAGGTGGATCACCTTAGGTCAGGAGTTTGAGACCAACCTGACCAACGTGGTGAAACACTGTCTCTACTAAAATACAAAAATATGCTGGTCGTGGTGGCGCGCCCCTGTAGTACCAGCTACTCGGGAGGCTGAGGCAGGAGAATTGCTTGAACCCGGGAGGCGGAGGTTGCAGTGAGCCGAGACTGCGCCTCTGCACTCCAGCCTGACGACAGAGCGAGACTCTGTCAAAAAAAGAAAAAGAAAAAAAATTAGCAGCGTGTGGTGGTGAGTCCCAGTAATCCCAGCTGTTGGAGATAAAAAAATAAAATCCTGGGTGCCGTAAAGTGAAACTGGTACTCAAGCAAAATTTTCTCAGCAAGGCTATTTACTTCTATAGAAGGGTATGTCTCGAGGATGGAGCAGTTAGCACACCTATACGGAAGGCAAAGGCGTTTCTCTCTCTTTTTTTTTTTGAGACGGAGGTTTGCTCCTGCTGCCCGGACTGGAGTGCAATGGTGATCTCGGCTCACCACAATCTCCGCCTCTCGGGTTCAAACTGTTCTGCTCTATCCTCCCTAGTAGCTGGGATCACAGGTGCCTACCACCACACCCAGCTAATTTTGTATTATTAGTATAGATGGGTTTCTATTTGTTGGTCAGGCTGGTCTCAAACTCTGGTGATCCCCTGTCTCTGCCTCCCAAAGTGCTGGGATTACAGGTGTGAGCCACCATGTCCATCCAGGGGTTTTTCTCTCTATTGCAGGGTCCCTACCTCTGTGTCACTCCTCCATGAGTTGGGTTCCAACCGCAGAGTGTAAACTGACCCTATTGACTGAATATTTTCCCCAAATAAGGAAGGGAAGGGGGATGTGTGAGTGAGTCACTGATGTGCGGTTTTGAAGGGGAAGGAGAATGTGAGTCACAATAGGGGGATGTGTGGTTTCGAAGGGTGGAATAGATGCAGAGTGGGCAGCCAAGGGAACAGATGTGAGTTATTGATTAGAGCTAATGGGAAGGTTTTTTATATTAACTAGAGGCAAGGAGGCATGGAGCACAGGAAAGTTGAGTTTGAGAACAAAGAACAGGGAAGTTAACTGGCTGAACTTTTTTATTTTTATTTTTTATTTTTTGAGACGGAGTTTCGCTCTTGTTACCCAGGCTGGAGTGCAATGGTGCGATCTCGGCTCACTGCAACATCTGCCACCTGGGTTCAGGCACTTCTCCTGCCTCAGCCTCCGAAGTAGCTGGGACTACAGGCGCGCGCCACCATGCCCAGCTAATTTTTGTATTTTTAGTAGAGATGGGGTTTCACCATGTTGACCAGGATGGTCTACATCTCTTGACCTCGTGATCCACCCGTATTTTTATGTTGCTTTATACCAGGTTGCCTTACCTATTCGTGTTTTTGATGGGTTTTTCTTTTAAGCTTTACACTAGAAGTATGAGTGGGTTAAACACAGTTACAGTATGGGAATATTCTGAGGTTCCTTTGTGCTTAAATGCATCAGTGGGTTTCTTCTTTAAAATGTTTGTTTTTGCACATTAATATTTTTTACTTTCAGATTGAAAAACCAAGTCGAATGGTCATGAATTATTTCAGCTTTTGTCTGGGAAACATTTTTATTATTATTTTTTCATATTTGAAGGATAGTTTTGCTGAATATGGTGTTCTTAGATGTCAATTTTTTTCTTCTAGCACTTTGAAGTTTCATCCCATAGTCAGGCAAGGTGGCCCGTGCCTGTAATTCCAGCACTTTGTGAGGTTGAGGTGGGGGGATTGCTTGAGCTCAGGAGTTTGAGACCAGCCTGGGCAACATGGTGAAACCCCATCTCTACAAAAAAATAGAAAGATTAGCCAGGCATGGTGTTGCTTTTTTGTAGTACTAGTTACTTGGGTAGCTGATGTGGGAGTATGGCTTTAGCCTTGGAGATCGAGGTTGCATTGAGCCATGATTATGCCACTGTACTCCAGCCTTGTCTCACAAAAAAAGAAAGAAAGAAAATGTCATCCTATCCCCTTCTGGCCTTGTGGTTTCCGTTGAGAAATCCTGTTGCCAGAACAGTTGGGGTCCTTTACATGTTATTTGCTTCTTCTTCTTTTTTTTTTTTTTTTTTTAAAGATGGGGTTTCATCATCATGGCCCAGCTGGTCTTGAACTCCTGACCTCATGTGATCCACCCACCTCAGCCTCCCAAAGTGCTAGGATTACAGGCATGAGCCACTGCGCCCAGCTCCTCTTACTGCTTTTAAGGTCCTGTCTTTGTCCGTGACCTTTGAGAGTCTGATTATTGTATGCTTTATAGTAGTTTTATTTGGGTTGAATCTGTTTGGTGTCCTCCTACCTTCATGTGCCTGGATATTTATATTTTTCTCAATTTTTGGAAATTTTTTTATGTCTTGAATAAGTTTGCAAAGCTTACCCCTTGCACTTGCTCCTTTCCCTCTTGAACACCAATGATTCTTAGGTTTTGTCTTTCAAGGTAATTTTCTGTATCTTGCAGACAATCTTAGTTCCTTTTCATTCTTCTGTTGGTATACTTTCAAATGGCCTTTCTTCAAGCTCACTGATTCTTTCCTCTGATTCGTTTTGCTGTTGAGAGCCTCTATTATGAACTTTTGAGTTCAGTATATGTATTTCTCAGTTGTAAGATTTCTCTTTTTTTGTTGTTAATATCTTCTAATATTTTTTCTGATACATTTCTAAATTGTTCTTCTGTGTTGTCTTGGAGATCACTGAATTTCCTTAGAACTGTTATTTTCAGGTCTTAGAGAGCTCACATACTGTCATTTCATTAGGTCAGTCACTAGTATTTTTTTTGTTTATTTTGAGAGGTCATGGTTCCTCTTTTCTTATCCTTTTTTTTTTTTAGAGATGGGGTTTCACCATATTGGTCAGGCTGGTCTGGAATTCCTGACCTCAGTTGATCCACCTGCCTCGGCTTCCCACAGTGCTGAGATTATAAGCATGAGCCACTGCGCCCAGCCGTTTTTTTTTTGTTGTTTTTTTTTTTTTTGAGACGGAGTCTTGCTCTATAAACCAGGCTGGAGTGCAATGGTGTGATCTCGGCTCGCTGCAAGCTTCACCTCTCCAATTCCAGTTTAAGCAATTTTCCTGCATCAGCCTCCCAAGCAGCTGGGATTATAGGCACGTGCCACTATGCACAGCTAATTTTTGTGTTTTTAGTAGAGACGAGGTTTCACCATATTGGCCAGGCTGGTCTTCAACTCCTGACCTTGCGGTACTCCCGCCTTGGCCCCTCAAAGTGCTTTGATTACAGGCGTGAGCCACCATGCCCAGCCTTATTTTATTTTCAGATAGACTTTCGCTCTTGTTGTCCAGGCTGGAGTGCAGTGGGACGATCTCAGCTTACCCTAACCTGCCTCCCAGGTTCAAGCAATTCTCCTGCCTCAGCCTCCTGAGTAGCTAGGATACAGTTGCCTGCTAACACATGCAGTTAATTTGTTTGTATTTTTAGTAGAGACAAAGTTTCACCATGTTGGCCAAGCTGGTCTCGAACTTTTGACCTCAGCTGATCTGCCCGCCTGGGCCTCCCAAAATTCTGTGATTACAGGTATGAGCCACCGTGCCCAGCCTAGTTTCTTATTTGCTGTTTCTTGCGGATGTACATCTGTGTCTATGCATTGAAAGATTAGTTATTTATTACAGTGTTTATCTTGCTTGTGATTTTTATTGGGAATGTTTTCTTAGGTTTTTTTTTTTTTTTTTTTTGAGTCATTGTTTTGCCCTTGTTGCCCAGGCTGGAGTGCAACAATCTCGACTCACTGCAACCTCCACCTCCTGGGTTCAAGTGATTCTCCTGCCTCAGCCTCCCGAGTAGCTGGGATTACAGGCATGCACCACCATGTTTGGCTACTTTTGTATTTTTAGTAGAGACAGGGCTTCTCTGTGTTGGTCAGGCTGGGTCTCAGACTCCTGGTCTCAGGTGATCCGCCGCCTCAACCTCCCAAAGTGCTGGAATTACAGGCATGAGCCACTGCACCCAGCCTCTTAGATTCTTTTTAATTTACCTGATGATTTTTTTTTTTAAGACGAGGTTTTCCTCTGTTACCCAGGTTGGAGTGCAGCGGTGTGATCATGGAATACTGCAGCCTCTACCTCCCAAACTGAACCAGTCCTCCCACCTCAGCCTCCTGAATAGGTGAGGTGCAACCCACCACACCTGGTTACTTTTTCTACTTTTTAGCAGAGATGGGTTTTCATCATGTTGCCAAGGCTGGTCTTGAACACCTGAGCTCAAGTGATCTGCCTGTCTCAGCCTCCCAAAGTGATTTTCTTTAAAATATCCCTCGGTCACTATCTCCTTTTCAACACTAGATGGAATCTTAAACCCACAGTTTTACCTCTTATCTAGCAAACTATCAAGAGTACTGCCCATCAGCTGGGTGTGGTGACTCACGCCTGTAATCCCAGCACTTTGGGAGCCTGAGGTGGGTGGATCATGAGGTTAGGAGATTGAGACCATTCTGGATAACACGGTGAAACTCCGTTTCTACTAAGAAAAGTACAAAAAATTAGCTGGGCTTGGTGGCATGCGCCTGTAGTTTCAGCTACTTGGGAGGCGGAGGTTGCAGTGAGCCTAGATCATGCCATTACAGTCAAGTCCAGTGGACAAATTTTGGTGGCTTTCACATCTGTCACCTGCAGAGAGAAAGTTCATAATGTTCCGTGACTGATGTTTTATGTTTGTTGTTTGATGATTGATATGAACAAGACCAAACATAACCCTGTACACAGAGGAATGGAGATTGCCTTTCTCCACCTAGGTTCGTAAGCTTCCCTGAGGCGATCTTGGCATGAAGGAAGAGAGAGCATTGAGGCACATCCCACCATCAGCTTCAGAGAATGGCAGCCATCGATTTGTCCTGCGGTAAGTCCTTGTTAATGCTCTTTTTCAGAGATTCTGCTTTGGATCGCCCTCCACACCATAAGGGTACAGTGAGCTGGCCTGAACAGTCACCGCTGTTTTTTTTTTTTTTTTTTTTTTTTTGGAGACAAAGTTTCACACTTGTTGTCCAGGCTAGAGTGCAATGGCACCATCTCAGGTCACAATCACCTCTGCCTTCTGGGTTCAAGTAATTCTCCTGCCTCAGCCTCCCGAGTAGGTGGGATTACAGGAATGTACCACCTTCACTACACCTGGCAGATTTTATATTTTTAGTAGAGATGTGGTTTCTCCGTGTTGGTCACGCTGTCTCAAACTCCTGACCTCAGATGATCTGCCTGCCTCAGCTTCCCAAAGTGCTGGGATTACAGACATGAGCCGTCACACCTGGTCTCCCCTGGTTCTTACAGGAGTAACTGAAGCGAGAAACAGAGTGTTGTTTGTTTGTTTGTTTGTTTATTTATTTATTTATTTATTTATTTATTTATTTTGAGGCAGAATCTTGCTCTGTGACCCAGGCTGAGTGCAGTGGTGCAATACCTCTGCCTCCCAGGTTCAAGCGATTCTCTTGCCTCAGCCTCCCAAGTAGCTGGAACCACAAGCACGTGCCTCCGGGCCTAGCTTATTTGCTTATTTATTAATTTAGAGACTGAGTCTTGTTCTGCCACCCAGGCTGGAGGGTAGTGGCATGATTTTGGCTCATTGTAACCTCTGCTTCCCTGGTTGAAGCAATTCTTTGCCTCAGCCTTTTGTAATCGTTTTGTTTTATTTTTTTTACTAGAGATCAGGTTTTGCCATGTTGGCCAGTCTGGTCTCAAATTCCTCACCTCAAGTGATTTGCCTGCCTTGGTTTCCCAAAGTGTTGGGATTACAGGCATGAGCCACTGTGCCTAGCCAGAATGCTGTTTTAGAATTCAGCCCTGGTTTGTGTGCCTTAGGAAATGCTACATAAGCTTCATGAATTTTACTAGTATGGGCAGATAGTCACATTTTTCAGGGTGTAAGTTTTCTTGTAAAATGAAACTATTACCCTTTACCCAACAGGCAGCTCAGCCCACATCTGCTTTTCTGAGTCTAGGTGACAAGGACTACTATGGCATTTTGTGGGAGTGTTGTCTGTCTGCAGTTTTCTTGTGTGTGCAGGAGTATATGGGAATTTCAAACTGGGATGGAATGACTTCTAGGCATATGAATGTGGGAAGTACAGGTAGCTCTGGCTTCTCATGCCTTCTTACTTTTCCACTAGGGTTTTTTCCCAGGGAAGCAATCTGCCCTCTTGAAGAAAAGACAAAGGTAGAAAGGACGGTGGTGGACTACCTGGCAAATGGTTATCAGGTAAAGTGAAAATGTACTGTTGTACAAAATGTCATACTTACATCCAGTAGGTGGACACATTTCCTTCTAGACAGACTCATCTCCAGAGTTCTCTTAGAGCAAATGAAGCCTCACTGAAGGACTGAGTCCCCAGATGAATTTCTCTAGGGAATGAAATCTCTTATAGATAAAGTGTTAACTTGAAAATCATCCCATGATCTCAGTAATAACTAATTAAGCTTGACCTTCATGGTGCCAGGTTCATCTTTGTTTGATTGCTGGGTGTTGTGACAGATGATGAGGCAGATGAAAGTGTCCTTTTATCAAATAATTTATTCATGCATCAGCATTTATCAGTATCTGCAGTGTGCTGAGGAGTGTGCCGCATAGTGACAGATGGTATAGGAAGAGCTTCTAGCCTGGTGGTGATTGTGCTGAGATAAAGTGTAAGCTGTGGGCAGTGGCTCATGCCTGTAATTCCAGCTACTCGGGAGGCAGAGGTCAGAGGAGCACTGCAGCCCAGGAGATTGAAGCTGCAGTCACCAGCAATTTTTCCTGGGTGACACAGTCGGACCTGTCTTTATATATAAATTAATAAACAGATTAGATGGATAGATAGATGAATAGATGCTAGATAAAAATTTATGTTGCCCAGGCTTGGTGGCTCACGCCTCTAATCCTAGCACTTTGGGAGGCCGAGGTGGGTAGATCACCTGAGGTTAGGAGTTCACAACCAGCCTGGCCATCATGGTGAAACCCCATCACTTAAAAAAAAAAGAAAGAAAGAAAGAAAAAAAAATTATGTTAAGGAAATATTTTAATTAAAACTTCAAAAACTTTTAAATTTTAAAATAAAAATGTTTAAAAATTAAAAATAAATCAGGAAAATATTTTTCAAAAAATTTTAAAAAGTGCTGTTCAAGGCATATGTCTGTAGGAGGTCACCTTTGAGTGTTTAGACACAACAGCTCCTGAGACATTAAACCCTGGAGTAGATGTTGGGAGATCTCAGAACCACATATAAATGAGTAGGTTCCCCTTCCTCATTCTCCAGTGAACATTGGTGGAAGTGTTCATTGGCTCAAACCAGCATGTGTGTGATGACTTAGGATTCAGTGACCTTTGATGATGTTGCTGTGGAGTTCACCCCAGAGGAGTGGGCTTTACTGGACACAACTCAGAAATACCTCTACAGAGATGTGATGCTGGAGAACTACAAGAACCTGGCCTCTGTGGGTAAGAGTCACATCATTTTAGGGGTTATGGTGGCCTGCACCTTTAGTCCCAGATACTTGGGAGGCTGAGGTGGGCGAATTGTTTTAGCCTGAGAGTTTGAGACTAGCATGGGCAACATTGTGAGACCTCGTCTCTAAAAAGAAATCATAGGGCCGGGCGCGGTGGCTCACACCTGTAATCCCAGCACTTTGGGAGGCCGAGGCGGGTGGATCACAAAGTCAAGAGATCGAGACCATCCTGGTCAACATGGTGAAACCCCGTCTCTACTAAAAATACAAAAAATTAGCTGGGCATGGTGGCACGTGCCTGTAATCCCAGCTACTCAGCAGGCTGAGGCAGGAGAATTGGCTGAACCCAGGAGGCGGAGGTTGTGGTGAGCCGAGATTGCGCCATTACACTCCAGCCTCGGTAACAAGAGCAAAACTCCGTCTCAAAAAGAAAAAAAGAAAGACTATATCCGGTGCAGTGACTCACGTCTATAATCCCAGCACATAAGGAGGCCAAGTCATGCAGATTACCTGAGGTCAGGAGTTTTGAGAAAAGCCTGGCCAACATAGTGAAACCTCCGGAAGCTGATGCAGAGCTACAGAATTGCTTGAACCCAGGAGGTGGAGATTGCAGGGAGCCACTCCACTCCAGCTTGGGCGACAGAGCAAGATTTTGTCTCAAAAAAAAAGAAATACATCTTCCTTCCCCTCTCTTTGATGTAATAAATTGGAAACCAGCGTTTGGACCCAGTCATCTGTATTTTCAGAATCCCTGAAGATGAATTTAATGTACTATCATGTTTCATGTCTTATGGCAAGGATCTTTATGTTGTACTTACTTTATTTCTTTTTTTTTCCTTTCTCTTTTTTAAGATAAGAGTCTTGCTTTGTCACCCAGGCTGGAATGAAATGGTCCAGTCTTGGGCTCACTGCAACCTCACACCTCAGCATCCCAAGTAGCTAGGATTACATGCACCTGCCACTGCACCCAGCTAATGTTTTTAAAAATTATTTGTAGTAGAGATGGATATTGGCCATGTTGGCCAGCCTGGTATCAAACTCCTGATATCAGGTATCCACCAGCCTTGACCTCCCAAAGTGCTGGGATTACAAGTGTGAGCCACAGCACCTGGCCTTATCTGCAGGGCCAGACTTTGATTTCATTAAGAAATAAAGTAATTAGGCTGGGTGCTATGGCTCACACTTGTAATCCCAGCACTCTGGAAGGCCAAGGTGGGTGGATCACGAGGTCAGGAGATTGAGACCATCCTGGCTAACATGGTGAAACCTCATCTCTACTAAAAATAGAAAAATTAATCAGTGTGGTGGCTCGTACCTGTAATCGCAGCTACTCAGGAGGCTGAGGCAGGAGAATGGCTTGAACCCGGGAGGTGGAGATTGCAGTGAGCCAAGATTGTGCCGCTACACTCCACCCAGGGCGACAGAGCAAGACTTTTTCTCTTAAATAAATAAATAAATAAATAAATAAATAAATAAATAAAATAAGATGAATAAACACTCCACCCAGGGCGACAGAGCAAGACTTTTTCTCTAAAATAAATAAATAAATAAATAAATAAATAAGTCCCGGTGCGGTGGCGTGGCTCACGCGTGTAATCTCAGTTCTTTGGGAGGCCAAGGTGTGGCCTTGGCCTTCACCTTCACCATGAGGTGAAGAAATCAAGACCATCCTGGCCAACATGGTGAAACCCTGTCTGTACTAAAAATACACACAAAAAAAATAGCCAGGTGTGGTGGCACATGCCTGTGGTCCCAGCTACTCGGGAGGCTGAGGTCAAAGAATCACTTGAACCTGGGAGGCAGAAGTTGCAGTGAGCCGAGATTGTACCACTGCACTCCAGCCTGGTGACAGAGCTAGACTCCATCTCAAAAAGAAAAAAAATTTTTTTTAAAGATGCACTTTGCCTCAGAAGATTTAAGCTATTTTTCTCAGAATTTCAGATATCTCTGACTTTTATTTTCCATTTAGTCACACTTTTCTACCACCTAACAAAAGTACCATTCTGTTGTTTGGTTAAGTTATCATTTTGATATATGCTCTTTATCCAGATCTTTCCTACTTTCCCTTTCTGATAATCTTCTCTTACTTTTCATCATCAGTGTGTTTACACAGAAGCAGTTTATTTTTTATTTGTTTTTTTTTTTTTTTTTTTGAGACGGAGTTTCGCTGTTGTTACCCAGACTGGAGTGCAATGGCACGATCTCGGCTCACCACAACCTCCGCCTTCTGGGTTCAAGCAATTCTCCTGCCTCAGCCTCCCAAGTAGCTGGGACTACAGACATGCACCACCATGCCCAGCTAATTTTTGTATTTTTAGTAGAGACAGGGTTTCACCTCGTCGACCAGGATGGTCTTGATCTCTTGACCTTGTGATCCACCCGCATCGGCCTCCCAAAGTGCTGAGATTATAGGCCTGAGCCACTGTGCCCGGCCTGAAGCAGTTTATAATAAGCTATCTAAACACATCAGCTGTGTAATAAACCGCACATCCTTGTAGCCAACTTTTTGCTATACCAAAATCCTCAAGGTTCTCTGTTTTTTATTTTGTTACTGTGATTAATTTGAAAACAAGTACAAATGATTCATCATTTTAAACTATTTCAATGTAACATTTCCTTTCTAAACCCTTACTTTCTTTTTCTGCTTAACTTCAGAATGGGAAATACAACCTAGATCCCAAGGGCCATCACATCAGCAGGGTTTTTTGAAGAATGAAATATTCAGTGGGCTACAAATGGTAAGATTGATGAGGGATATTTCTTAGTTTCCCCACTCAAAAAAGATTGAGAATTTCATTCTAGAAAATCAGCTCAGTCAGAGCTGTGGCTTACATCTGTAATTACTGCTACTTGGATGGCTGAGGTGGGAGGATCATTTGAGTCCAGGAGTTTGAGACCAACCTAGCCAATATATCAACATCCCATCTCTGATTTAGAAAAGACACTGAATATGGTGGCTCATGCCTGTAATCCCGACACTTTGGGATGCAAAGGTGGATGGATGATTAGAGGTCAGGAGTTGGAGACCAGCCTGGCCATCATGGTGAAACTCCATCTTTACTAAAAATACAAATTAGCTAGGTGTGGTGGTGGGCATCCGTCATCCAAGTTACTCAGGAGGCTGAGGCAGGAGAATTGCTTGAACTCAGAGGTGGAACCCAAGATTGCATCACTGCATTCCAGCCTGGGGGACCCAGTGAGATTCTGTCTCAAAAACAAAAAAAGATAGTAAAGAAACTGAGTCTGTAATCCCAGCACTTTGGGAAACCAAGGTGGGTGGATCACTTGAGGTTAGTACTTCGAGACCAGCGTGGCCAACATGGTGAAACTCTGTCTCTACTAAAAATACAAAAATAGCTAGGCATGATAGCAGGCACCTGTAATCCTAGTTACTTGAGAAGCTGAGGCAGAAGAATTGCTTAAACCTGGGAAGTAGAGTTTGCAGTGAAAAAGAGCACAAATTTGAGATACTTGGGAGAATTAGAGAAGTAGCCTGCACTGTTGAGGGAGCAGGGACTCCAGAGAGAGAATCTGAATATGATGAATTTTGTGATGTTCCATAGCTGTATAACTTGTCATTTGAAAATACCCACAAGTACACAGTCCCACATATGTAAGTAGACATAGAGGATTTAAACAGTTTCATGACAATCCACAGAATTTGCCTGGGTGCCATGGCTGACACCTGTAATCCCAGAACTTTAGGAAGCTGACACAGGAGAATTGATTGAGTCTAGGATTTTAAGACCAGCCTGGGAAACAGGGTGACCCTGTCTCTACAAAAAATAAAAAATGAGCCAGACATGTTGGCATGCACCTTTAGTGCAAGCTCCTTAGGGGACTGAGGCAGGATGATGGCTTAAGCCTTGGAGATTAAGGCTGCAGTGAGCTGTGATTGTGCCATGGTACCCAGCCTGGGTGACAGATTCAGAACTTGTCTCAAACTACCCCTCACAATAATAAAAAAAGAACTACAGTGTTTTGTTTTAAACAATTAGAGCCAGTGGCATAGAATTCTAGCAAAAGATTCCATCATTCAAAATGGAAGAAATGAAGAGGTCAGGAAATGAAACTATAGAAGAAAAATTGTAAGAATTATACTTATCAAAGTAGGCTGCCATGGTAGCTCATGGCTATAATCCCAGCACTTTGGAAGGTTGAGACGGGGCGGGCAGTTGCTTGAAGAGTTTGAGACTAGCCTAGGCTACCTAGCATGACCCTGTCTCTATAAACATAAATTGAGGCCAGGTGCAGTGGCTCATACCTGCAATCCTAGCACTTTGGGAGGTGGAGGTGGGTGGATCATGAGGTCAGGAGTTCGAGACCAGCTTGGCCAACATGGTGAAACCCTGTCTCTACTAAAAATACAAAAATTATCCGGGTGTGGTGGCATGTGCCTATAATTCCAGCTACTCGGGAGACTGAGGCACAAGAATCACTTGAACCCAGGGGGCAGAGGTTGCAGTGAGCCGAGATGGGGCCCACTGTATGCCAGCCTGGAGACAGAGTGAGACTGTGTCTCAAAAAAATAAATAAATTGAAATGTTGGCCAGGCTTGATGGTGCATGCCTATGGTCCTAGCTACACAGGAAGGTAAGGTAAAATGATCACTTGAACTGAGGAGTTTGAGGTTACAGTAAGCTATGATTACACCAGTGCACTATAGCCCAGGCAATGGAGCAAAATCACAGCTCTTTAAAATACACTGGGGATGGGTCACGCCTGTAGTTTCACCATTTTGGGAGGCCAAGCCAGGCAGATAACCTGAATTCAGTAGTTTGAGACCAGCCTGGGCAACTTGGCAAAATGCCGGCTCTTACAAAAATAGAATTTTTTTTTGAGGTGGAGTCTTGCTCTGTCATCCACACTAAAGTGCAGTAGGTTGATCTTGGCTCACTGCAACCTCTGCCTCCCAGGCTTAAGCAATTATCCTGCCTCAGCCTCCTGAGTAGCTGGGATTACAGGTGTGAGCCACCACACCCAGCTAATTTTTGTATTTTTAGTAGAGACGGGGTTTCACTGTGTTGGTTAGGATGGTCTTGATCTCCTGACCTCATGAGCAACTATCCCCATCCAAAAAAATAGAAAAATTTGCCGGGTGCAGTAGAGCACAACTATTCCTAGCTGCTTGGGAATCTGAGGCAGGAGAATTGCTTGAGCATGGGAGGTGGAAGTTGCAGTTAGCCAAGATTGTGCCACTGTACTCCAGACACTGTCTCAAAAAAAAAAAAACTAAAAACTAAACATTAAAAAGGTAAAATAATGAAATAATCGTCATCAAAACAATGCTTCTGTGTTCAGATGGGTGAAATCTCTTAATATGTCTGAAAATGTTTTAAATCCTTTATTCCCTCATCAACAGGAAAGAAGCTACAGGTTAGGGAAACTCTGTGACTGTAAGAATTGTGGAGAGGTCTTCAGTGAATGGTTTTTCTTCGAGACACTCATGAGAGCTCAGAATGGAGGGAACACTTCTGAGTATAATTGTTATGGAAACGATGTCCTCTCTGTGCAGAAGAAAACCTCTATTGGACAGGAACTTTCCAAACTTAATCCATGTAGCAAAGTCTTCACCCTAACTCCAGGCCTTGCTGTACATCTTCAAATTCTCAATGCAAGAAAACCCTACAAATGTAAGGCATGTGGAAAAGGCTTTAAGTATTTTGCGAGTCTTGATAATCACATGGGAATCCACACTGGAGTGAAGCTCTGTGAATTTCAGGAATGTGGAGGAGCCATCACAGCTTCCTCACAGCTAAAGCAGTGTGTAACAGTTCATACTGGAAAGAAATCCAAAAAGACTAAGAAATGCGGGAAATCCTTCACTAATTTTTCTCAACTTTCTGCACATGGGAAAAATTATAAAGGAGAGAAGTCCTTTGAATGTAAAGAATGTGGAAGATCCTTTAGAAATTCCTCCTGTCTTTATGATCACATTCAAATTCATACTGGAATAAAACCACACAAATGTACGGAATGTGGGAAAGCATTTACTAGATCAACTCAACTTACTGAACATATAAGAACTCACACTGGAATAAAACCCTATAAATGTAAGGAATGTGGGCAAGCCTTCACTCAGTACTCAGGCCTTGCTATACACAAAGGACGTCACAGTGCAGAGAAACCCTACCAGTGTAAGGAATGTGGGAAGGGCTTCACTACATCTACAAGCCTTACTCAACATACAAGAATTCACACAGGAGAGAAGCCTTATATATGTGGTGAATGTGGAAGAACCTTCATTACTTCTTCCCATCGTGCTAAACATTTGAGAACTCATACTGGAGAAAGGCGCTATGTATGCAAGATATGTGGGAAAGCATTTATGTATTCCTCAGGCTTTAATGTTCACCTACGAACTCATACTGGAGAGAAACCCTTTGTATGTAAAGAATGTGGGAAAGCATTTGCTTCTTCCTCACTCCTAAGTAGACATGGAACAATTCATAGCCGGGCACAGTTGCTCACACCTGTAATCCCAACACTTTGGGAAGCCGAGGCAGTGGATCATGAGGTCAGGAGATCTAGCGTAACAGGATCGCAAAGTAAGATCGTGGCTAACATGGTGAAACCCCATCTCCACTAAAAATACAAAAAATTAGCTGGGTGTGGTGGCACCCACCTGCAGTCCCAGATACTTAGGAGGCTGACTCAGGAGAATTGCTTGAACCCATCAGGCAGAGGTTGCAACAAGCTGGCATGGCACCATTGCACTCCAGCCTGGGCAAGACAGTGAGACTCTGTCCCCCCATGCCAAAAAAAAATTCAAACTGGGGAGAAATCCTAGGAATGTGAGGGTATGAGTGTTAACATTTAGCCCATCGGTTGCCATCTTTAGTTATTGGCAGTGACACCAAAGATCGTCAGATATGTCCTAAATGCCTTGTGGGGGTTGTAATGGCTTATGGATTGGCCTTAGGTAACCTCCCAAGTGTTTGAAATTAAACCTACTGGTTCTGAATACAATTTCCCCATGGTTGCCTGAGTCTGGGCATCTCTTGAGTCTGGGATGCCGAGGTCAGTACTGCATGCTGCCTCACCTTGGTGATTACATTCATAGGATCATAGCATTAACAAGTTCTGTAGGAGATAAATCATGCAGATTGGTCCCAGACCCTGTTGGTTAGTGGCTGCCAGTGTGGCACATTCATGTTAAAATTTACCAGAAGCCAAGATGATGTAGGCCTCAGAGGCGGGTTGTTGAGAAATGCTCCTCGAAGAATCTCTTCTGTTCCCACAGATCCTGGAGAGTGTGGCAAGAATTAAAGCATCCTTAACTGTCAGTGCACTTTCATAGCTGATTCCTGTGAAATCTAAGAAGAGTGACAGCCATGTTGTTTTTTTCTGCCTTCTCTGTTCATTTTAGGTGGCACCATCTAAGTGGTGGTATCTCTTCTAGTGTAATCTAGTCTGTCTCCTGTTTTTTTTTTTTTTTTAAAGATGGGGTTTCACCATGACAGCCAGGCTGGTCTTGAACTCCTGACCTCAGGTGATCCACCCACCTCGGCCTCCCAAAGTGCTAGGATTACAGGTGTGAGCCACCGCACCCAGCCTTTCTCCTCATTTTTGATAAGATAGCTGATAAGGTCCCACTCATGATCTCTTTATCAAATGATTCTTTAGCCACACTTTAAGGATTCTCTTTAGTATAAGTTTTCTAACATTTGGAGTATGGATAGGCTGAGAACATTCCAAATCTCCAAGTTCTGGTTCCTTTTTCTTTTCCTTAACAATTTCTTCTACAATTCAGGGATTTTTTTTTTTTCGTGAGACAGTTTTGCTCTTGTAGCCCAGGCTAGAGGGCAGTGGCATGACCTCGGCTCACTGCAACCTCTGCCTCTGCCTGCCGAGTAGCTGGGATTACAGCATGCACCACCACCCTCCGCTAATTTTGTATTTTTGGTAGAGACAGGGTTTCTCCATGTTGGTCAGGCTGGTCTTGAACTCCCAACCTCAAAGGATCAACCTGCCTTGGCCTTCCAAAGTGCTGTGGTTACAGGCATGAGCCACTGTGCATGGCCAAAAAAACAGTGGGAGACTCCATCTCAAAAATAAACAAAACAAAAAACAAAACAGTAGTAGTTGGATTGAAGAAAAAGATCACCGTTTTTTTTTTGAGGCAGAGTCTCCCTTTGTGGCCCAGGCTGGAGTGCAGTAGCGTGATCTTGGCTCACTGGAACTTACACCTCCCGGGTTTAAGCGATTCTCTTGCCTCAGCCCCCTGAGTTGCTGGGACTCCAGGCACCCAACACCACGCTCAGCTAATCTTTGGGAGGCCAAGGTGGGAGGATGAGCATCATAGTGAGACCCCGTCTACAAAAAAAATAAAATTGGGTAAGCAAGGTGTTCCTGTAGTCACAACTACTTGGGAGGATGACTCGGGAGGATTGCTTGAGTCTAGGAAGTTGAGGCTGTAGTGGGCTCTGATTGGGCCACTGCAGACTAGGCTAGACAGCCCTATCTCTAGAAAAAAATATGAAAAGTGGTAAATGGCCCTGCATGACAGACTATATCACAGTGTTCTGGTCGCATCCATCAAGGTCTCCATACTCAATACCCAATATTATTTGGATTACTGATTCTCTTCACTCAACAACAGATAAATAATTTGCCCTTGTAGATTGGTGTGAGGGTTAATGCTGAGTGTCGACTGGATTGAAGGACACAAAGTATGGATCCTGGGTGTGTCTGAGGGTGTTGCCATAGGAGATTAACATTTGAGTCAGTGCGCTGGGAAAGGTAGACCCACCTTTAATCTGGGTGGGCACAATCTAATCAGCTGCCAGGGAGTCTAGAATATAAGCAGGCAGAAAAATGTGAGAGAGACTGACTTAGCCTCCCAGCCTACATCTTTCTCCTGTGCTGGATGCTTCCTGCCCTTGAACATCTGACTCCAGATTCTTCACTTTTGCATCTCGAACTGGCTCTCCTTGCTCCTCAGCCTGCAGACAGTATTGTGGGACCTTCTGATCATGTGAGTTAATAATAAAGATATACACACATACACACATGTTCCATTAGTTCTGTCTCTCTAGAGAACCCTAATACAATTGGCTAATATATTCTGTTCAGTGCCGTCTCAGTAGCTTCTCAGCCACAATTTGGTTCCGCCTCCGAAGGGATACGACATACTTTTTCCTGATACCCGTGGTGTACCTTAAACAGGTGAGTCATCGTGCACAACCTTTGCAGAGAAGATCTTGATAACATCCACACCTTTCTCCGGAAATGACATTACATTAATAACGCCCTTCTCCAAGGAGATTCACCAGTACACTTACTGAAAACACTTAAGTCCAATAGCTCCAAGTACCTTTTGAATTCTGGTAGCAACATACTCCTTATTTGCAAATTTTACTTTCTGGCCAGGTTCGGTGGCTTATGCCATTAATCCCAACTTTTGGAGGTTGAGGTGGGTGGATCTCAAAATCAGGCATTTGAGACCAGCCTGGCCAACACAGTGAAACCCCATCTCTATTAATAGAAAAACAGCCGATCATGGTGGTGGGTGCCTGTAATTTTAGCTACTGGGGAGGCTAAGGAGAATCACTTGAATCTCAGAGGCAGAGGCTGCAGTAAACCAAGATAATGCCACTGCACTCCAGCCTGGGCAGTAAGAGTGAAAATCCATTATCAAATAAAATAGAAAGGCAAAAATTAGCTAGGCATGGTGGCACATGCCTGTGATCCCAGCTACTTGGGAGGAAGGACAGAACCCAAGAAACAATATGCTCTGCCATATATTCAGCAACTTTTGACACTGGATGCCCTAGTCGAACTTACGGTCCCGTCTTCATGTTTATTATACAGAACTGAGGCATTACCTAAAAATTGTCCCCATAATGTGAAAAAGAAAAAACTGAATCCCTTTTCTAACATATACCCAAAATATAGATCAAAATAACATTGCCACATATACTGAGGCCAAGTATCAGCCTTTGCCAGGCCACTCCATTCCCTTTGGAGCAACAGGCATTGCTGGTGGTAACAAGACACACATTTCCCTTATTAAAATATACAGTGCTCTTCAAAAAGTCATTCACTGGCCAGATGCAGTGCCTCATGACTGTAATCCCAACACTTTGGGAGGCCGAGGCGGGACTATCACAAGGTCAAGAGATGGAGACCGTCCTGGTCAAAAAGGTGAAACCCTGTCTCTACTTTAAAAATACAGAAATTAGCTGGGCATGGTGGTGCATGCCTGTAGTCGCAGCTACTCGGGAGGCTGAGGCAGGAGAATTGCTTCAACCCAGAAGGCAGAGGTTGCGGTGAGCCGAGATCGTGCCATTGCACTCCAGTCTGGGTAACAACAGCGAAATTCCATCTAAAAAAAAATTAGTTGGGTGTGGTGGTGTGTGCCCATAGTCCCAACTTGGGAGACTGAGGCAGGAGAATTGCTTGAACCTGGGAGGCGGAGGTTGCACTGAGTCAATATCGTGCCACTGCACTCCAGCCTGGCAACAGAGCAAGACTGTCTCAAAAAAAGTCATTCAAGCAAAATTTTATGTTCCTGACAGGTTCAAAATAGACAATTAAACTGAGAGACATAATGAAGTCTTCAAACAGTTCCTTTTCAGATTTCAGTCAGGCAAATAAAACCCTACATAAGTTTATATTTTGCCCCAGGTTTTAATCAATCTTAATAAATTTTTAACTTTGCGCCAACATCTCAAGGGTTAGAGACCAGAGTGAGGGTATGTGCTTGCCTTTTTTTTCCCTCTCAGAGTCTCATTATATTGCCAGGCTGGAGTGCTATGGCACTGTCTTGGCCCACTGCAACCTCCGCCTCCCAGGTTCAAGCGATTCTCCTGCCTCAGCCTCCCTTGTAGCAGGGACTACAATGTGCCACGACGCCCAGCTAATTTTTTTATTTTTAGTAGAGATAATATTTTCACCATGTTGGACAGTATGCCTTGGCCTCCCAAAGTGCTGGGGTTTTAAAGGTGTGAGCCACTGCACCCAGAGGGTATATTTTCTTTGGACTCTAACCATAGATTGTCCCACAGGCAGGGTAGCTGATCATCTGATAATGGGAGTTATTTTATTATTTCATTTTATTTTATTTGCATTTATTTTTTTGAGATGGAATCTCGCTGTTGTTGCTCTGGCTGGGGGTGCAATGGCACAATCTCGGCTCACTGCAACCTCCGCCTCCCAGGCTCAAGCAATTCTGCCTTAGCTTCCCATGTAGCTGGAATTACAGGCATGCACCACCACACCCAGCTAATTTTTTGTAGTTTTAGTAGAGACAGGGTTTCGACAGGTTGGCCAGGCTTATCTCAAACTCCTGACCTCAGGTGCTCCACCCGCCTCAGCCTCCAGAAGTGCAGGGATTACAGGGAATTTTTGGATTTTTTTATAGTAGAGATGGGGTTTTACCATGTTGGTCAGGCTAGTCTCGAACTCCTGACCTCATTATCCTTCCCCCTCAGCCTCCCAAAATTTGTGATTACAGGTGTGAGCCACTGTGCCCAGCCACAAGACGCATTTAAAAGTAAATGTTTGGCCAGGTGTGGTGTCTCACAGTACTTTGGGAGGCCCTGGTAGGACGATTGCTTGAAGCCAAGAGTTCAAGACCACCCCTAGCAACATAGTGAGACCCCCATCTCTACAAAAAAAATGAAAAATGAACTGTGTATGGTAGCATTCGCCTGTAGTCTCAGCTACTCAGGAGCTGAGTAGGGAGAATCCCTTGAATCCAGGGAGTCAAGGCTTCAGTGAGATATGACTGCACGACTGCACTCTATCGTGGGCAATAGAATGAGACCCTGTGTCAAAAACCCCAAAACAGAGCTAAATTTAGACACACACACAGGCAGGGCACAGCTGCACACCATTCTGTTGACTGTTGTGGTATTACTATTAGTTTCTGTACTTCACTGGTTTTCTCTCTGGAGGTCCACATCAACTCAAGTGAGTACCCAGGTAAAAGGAGCCCTCACGCTGGGTGTGATGGCTCATGCCTGTAATCCCTACACTTTGCGAGTCCAAGGCAGACGAATCACTTGGGGACGAGTTCAAGGCCAGCCTGGCCAACATGGAAAACTGTCTACTAAAAATACAAAAATTATCCTGGCATAGCAGCATGTGCCTGTAATCCCAGTTACTGGGGAGGCTGAGGCATGAGAATAGCTTGAACCTGGAAGGCAGAGGTTGCAGTGAGTTGAGATAATGCCACTGAACTGCAGCCTGGGCAACAGAGGGAGACTCCCATCTCAAATGAATTTTAAAAAAGGACTCCCCAGTTCCACATCCCAGATGATACCATGACATCACTCTGAGCCCAAATTTCACTGTCTGACATGACATTGCCTCAGAAAATATTGCCCAACCAAGAATTTTCCATCCAAGATAAGTTTGACCCTTGTGCTAACAACTATACATCTCTTACCCAAAACTCTCCACCCAGCGATGCTTGTAGACTACCTTTCCTAAAGTACAAAATGGACACTGAATATTTTTTGGCTTTTCACCTCAGCTCTGCTTAGCCTATGACACTACTATACTAACTCTCTGCTACTGTAGAACCCTATACTTCCATGCCTAAAGAAGAATCTAAGGCCGAGCGCAGTGCTCACGCCTGAATTCCAGCACTTTGGGAGGTGGAGGCGGATGGATTACCTGAGGTCAAGAGTTGGAGACCAGCCTGGTTAATATGGTGAAACCCCATCTCTATTAAAATACAATTAGCTGGGTGGGGTGGCGGGCCTGTAATCCCAGCTACTCAGGAGGCTGAGACAAGAGAATCACTTGAACTCGGGAGTCAGAGGTTGCAGTGAGTCGAGATCGCGCCATTGCACTCCAATCTGGGCAACAAGAGCGAAACTCCTACTCAAAAAAATAATAATTTAAAAAACCACCTTCCTCCCCGTCCCTGAGTGTGGGAGTGAGTCTCTCTCCCTGAGAGACTCCCCTCGACCCTCTCCCTCGCAGCTTCACCCACAGGCTTCAGTTCAACATGGTTCTCTGTGCCTGGGGCACAAGCCTCATCTGAGTCCTCAACGAGGCCCGGCTGCACTCACGCGGGAGGAAACTAGAATTGCTCGGGTGAAGTCTTCCAATAGGGCTGAAGCAAGAGCCGCGGACTGACTCCCACCGGAGGCTGCAAGCGGAAGTGACGCCAGGAGGCGCCGCCTTCTCTTCCAGGACCGCCGCTGGGCGCCCGAGCGACGTTTTCCCGTGGTTGTCTTTGGTCTAGGATGCGTCAAGTGGACCGGTGGCGGAGCCGGTGGTGAGAGTTCGAGTTTGTCCCAGGCTTCTTCTCAGAGAGGCTTGGCCCGCTCTGCTCGCGTCAGGTGGGTACCGAGGCCGCTCGGGCAGTCGGTCCTCACGAAGGTCACGGTCGATAATTGCCGCGCTCACCCACTATGCTCCCTTGAAAAGCCTCCAGAAAGACTATTATTGTGAGGTTTTTTTCTGCGAGGAAAAGAACTTCCTCCGCTTGAGCCACGTTAATTCAGCCCCCAGGGTCCTCCCGCCCTACGAATCCTGCGATTCCCGCGCGCTCGGGTGAGCAATGCATGAAGGATGCTTCCAGGGGGCATCTTGTTACACGAACGAATGTTTCACTTGAGAATGTTTCTTTGTTTATGCGTCATAAACTTAGTTTTGACGCCTTACATTTTGTTAAAAGACACTTTTTTTTTTTTTTTTGAGACGGAGTTTCGCTCTTGTTACCCAGGCTGGAGTGCAATGGCGCGATCTCGGCTCACCACAATCTCCGCCTTCTGGGTTCAAGCAGTTCTCCTGCCTCAGACTCCCGAGTAGCTGGGATTACAGGCACGCGCCTGTAATTTTTTTTGGTATTTTTAGTAGAGATGGTGTTTCAACTCGTTGACCAGGATGGTCTCGATCTCTTGACCTCGTGATCCACCCGCCTCGGCCTCCCAAAGTGCTGGGATTATAGGCGTGAGCCACCGTACGCGGCCAAAAAGACACTTTAATAGATGTTTAGGGGGTGCATATTTCTCCATGGAAATATAAAATTACGTAGACCACAAGC